ATTAAAAAATCATATTTATAATTATAAATTTAAAAACAATTATAACTATAAAATTAATGTTAAATAAATTATATATATTAAATAAATTATATATATATATATATATATATATATATATTACATAAATTAAAATTACATATATGAACTCTAAATTAATTTTATATATAAAATTTACATTAATAAAAATAAAAATTGTCAACTTAAAAATAAATTATATTTTAATATATATATATATATTTTAACTATTTAAAAAACTAATGGATTAGTTCAAAAAGTAATCTATTAGTTTTTTCATACTTCATTGTTTCATACTTGATGAGAATCAATTATTTTTTTAAATAATTGATTAAATTTTAAATAATCAATTAGTTTTTCAAATATATATTAAATAATTATAAATAAAAATATATATCAACTTAAAATTAAAAATAATAATTATTTTTAATTTATATATATTATATAAATTATAAATATAAAGTTAAAAAAATTATATTTAAAATTATAGCCTTAAAAAAAATTATAATTATAAAATTAATAAAAATATAACTATTTTTATTGTTAAATAAATTATATATATTATATATATATATATATATATATATTACATAAATTAAAATTACATTTATGAAGTCTAAATTAATTTTATATATAAAATTTACATAAATAAAAATAAAAATTATCAACTTAAAAAAATTATATTTTAATAAATATATATATATATATATATATATATATATATATTCTCCAAAATATAACTTAATTTTATTTCTATAATATAACATATAATAAGCGGTTCCACGTGGAACCATTATTATATGTTAACTTCTAAGAGCGGTTCAGTGGAACCTAGTATTATATATTACCTCTAAGAGCGGTTCAGGAGAACCGCTTATCATAGCTCACCACATATTTCATTATGATCGATTAAATTTTAAAATAATCGATTATATTTGAAAATATATAATAGCAGTTCTAGTGGAACCGCTATCATATATAAATGTCCAAATAATCATTTATATTTTCAAATAATTGATTATAATCGATTATTCTCAAATAATCGATTATATTCGATAATTTTTTTAAATAATAAATTATAATCGATTAGTTTTTAAATAATTGATTAGAATTTATTAGTTTTTCAAATAATAGATTATAAGCTGATTAATTTCTCAAATATATATTAAAAAATTATAAATAAAAATATATATTAAATTAAAATTAAAAAATTATTTATCAATTATATATTATAAAAATTATAATTATATAATTAAAAAATCATATTTATAATTATAACTTTAAAAACAATTATAACTATAAAATTAATGTTAAATAAATTATATATATTAAATAAATTATATATTTATATATATATATATATATATTACATAAATTAAAATTACATATATGAACTCTAAATTAATTTTATATATAAAATTTACATTAATAAAAATAAAAATTGTCAACTTAAAAATAAATTATATTTTAATATATATATATATATATATATATATATTTTTTTAACTATTTAAAAAACTAATCGATTAGTTCAAAAAGTAATCTATTAGTTTTTTCATACTTCATTGTTTCATACTTGATGAGAATCAATTATTTTTTTAAATAATTGATTAAATTTTAAATAATCAATTAGTTTTTCAAATATATATTAAATAATTATAAATAAAAATATATATCAACTTAAAATTAAAAATAATAATTATTTTTAATTTATATATTATATAAATTATAAATATAAAGTTAAAAAAATTATATTTAAAATTATAGCCTTAAAAAAAATTATAATTATAAAATTAATAAAAATATAACTATTTTTATTGTTAAATAAATTATATATATTATATAAATTATATATATATATATATATTACATAAATTAAAATTACATTTATGAAGTCTAAATTAATTTTATATATAAAATTTACATAAATAAAAATAAAAATTAGCAACTTAAAAAAAATTATATTTTAATATATATATATATATATATATATATATATATATATATATTCCAAAGTATAACTTAATTTTATTTCTATAATATAACATATAATAGCGGTTCCACGTGAAACCGCTATTATATGTTAACTTCTAAGAGCGATTACAGATGGAACCGCTATTATATATTACCTCTAAGAGCGGTTCCTGTGGAACCGCTATCATATATAAGTGTCATATTTCTTTATTTTAATTTCTATAAAATATATATAAATGAAAATAAGTTATATTTTGGAATATATATATTGGATTTTCATTAATATAAATTTCTAATATATATATTATATTTTAGAATAATATGTTGTGCCTTTTTAAAATTTTAACTTTTTTATATATTGAATTTTCATTAAAAAATTTCTAAAATTGCATAAGAAAATAGAGATTTAATTATACTTTTAATAAATTTAAGATAATACTAGTTTTTATTTTTATTTTTAAATATTAATTTTAATTTTTTAAAAGAGAGAAACTATAATTTTTGTTTCTAAATACTAAATTTAAAGAATTAAATTTATTATTATTTAATATTTTAATTTTAGTATTAAAAATCTAAATTATATTTTATTAAATTAAAATAATTACAATATATTTTTCTACTTTGAGAGTTAAAAATATAATAAAACTAAAATTGAAAATATTATAATACATTTTTGAACTCTTTTTATAATATTTTTATAAATTTAAACTTACTTTTTTTAGTTTAGTTTTTAAATTTTATGTATTATTATTGTTAATTGATATACTATAATAAAATTATATAAAAATAGTCTTTATCTTCAAAATTCACTTCTTTAAATACTATCTTTATATTTTTCTACTATTTTTTATAGTTAAGAAGGTCAACATTTGTGCACACACTTAAATATAATATAAAGTAAAGAGTATTTGTTTATTCTATTTTATTTCCAATCTATAATTTTAGTTTTTTTTTAAAATATATTTTGTATTTTTAAAATTAATAATTTTAATGTTGTTATCTAAATTTTTTATGTGATGATTTTAATTAATTGATATTATCGAATCATTTAATTTGATTTATTATAGTAAATATCATAAAAACAAATGTTAAAATAATATTAATTATTTTAAATTATAAGAAAATAAATAATAAAAATAAAAAATAAAGTATTCTATAAAATAAGACTAATTATTATAAAGATAAAATAGAATATGGGAGGAAATGAGGATGATAATATAGTAAAAATGATAGAGTTTAAAAACAATGAAGAATGTAAGAAATTTAAAAAGAAAAAAAAAGTTAAAAAGGGATATATATATATATATATATATATATATATATATATATATATATATGTAATTGGATTAAATTTATTATCCCCTCATATATTATTATACATTATTAGCGTAATTTTAATTTAATTAAAAATTAGAATAAAAATATACTATACTATACTAATATACCATTATATTATTTTCATTGTATATAAATTACAAAACTAATAATTTTAAAAAAATTTAATGATAATTTTTTTAACTTATATATTACAAAATATTTTTTAATACTTTAATAAATATAACTTTTTTAAAATATTTTCATTAATTTAAAGTATAACTTTTAATATTTTTTAATATTGTTTTAAATGTGGATATCTTTAATATAAATATATAAATATGTAAAGATATAACTATATATCTTTAATATTTTGTACATGTAAATATAATTTATATATATATTTTGAAATCTTTTTCTAATATTTGTATACTATACTAATATATTATTTGTATACTATACTAATAGTATAATATACTAATATATCAATATTTAAATATATCAATATTTAAATATATCAATATTTAAATATATCAATGTATTAATATATCAATGTATTAATATTTAAATATATATTAAAATATATAAATATATTTTTATTTATAGATTTTATATTTATATATTTATACGAGATATATATTTATTTGTATATAAATATAATTTATTTGTAAGTTATTATTAAAAAATCCTAGTAGCTCAGTGGTTGAAGTTTCAGCCTCCAACTCTAAGGTACAGGGTTCGTCTCCTGACAATGAGAATAAACCTAATAATAAGTTAATCTTCTAAAAAATATAATAAAATTAAGAGGTAGGGGAAATAAATAATAAATATAATTAAATCGGTCGCTATTTTTTAACTTTGTCATCGATTTAACGACTAATTTGATATATTAATTTCGGTCGTTATTTTGCGACCGATTTTTTCGATCGCTAAAATGTTTTTTTCTTGTAGTGTTAATATATTGGGAAAATGGAGTATCAAATCATGGAATTTATGCTTCATTTATATGATCTAATTAAAAAATGATGACCAACCAGAAAAGATATGGACGAATTTAACTGGACAGAATGTTAATTTTTAAAGATCGATAAATTTTGTTATTCATGTGTTCTGTCATTTTCTATTCATTGCTGAATAATAATAAAAAAAATAGACAAACAAACCAATATTTAAACACACTCAAAGTGACACAAACGTTATGGATCACCTCTTGAAAAAATATATTCTTATTATACTTTATTTAAATTACGTATTGAAAATTCTATAAATTCTCATTACTTTTAAACAAACAAGTTTTATTGATTATTTCGATCCCCTCCCCTAGTTAGCGATTAATATACTTGTTTTTTAAGGATTTTTTGTGTTTAATTAAGATAAATATAAAAGTAGAATCTTAAACACCGGAAAATGATAAATATAGACTTTATTTTTGGAGTGTAAGTACATAGAAGAAAGAAAGATACAATAAGAGATAACATAGAAACAAAAGAAAAAAATAATAAACATTAAATCAAATCTGCGCGCTGAAAACTTTTTTCACTAAACATGCCTTTAACTGTATACTTTTTATTTGTTTTTACAAGAAAATTGGACATAAAATAAAAATAAAAATAGACAGACTTTGCATAAGTACTCCTGGTAGTTGTTTAAGTACAAATAAGTGTAAATATTTCGTTATAACGAGTGTGATTGCATGAATGCAGGAGATGATTTTTTGGTGGCACGGATACAACAGCGCTTCTTACAGAGAGGGTAATGGCCGAGCTTGTTTTGAATGAGCAAGTGCAAACTAGGCTTCGCAATGAGCTTCACAGGGTTATGGGAAACTAAAGCGTAGTTACAGATGCTGATGTGATTAAATTGCCCTACTTAGAAGCCATTGTGAAAGAAACATTGAGATTGCATCCAATTGGGCCCCTTCTTTCTTGGGCCCGTTTGTCCACGTCAGATGTCCAGCTCAGCAATGGAATGATGGTCCCAGCCAACACCACAACAATGGTGAACATGTGGGCCATAACTCATGACCCTAAAGTGTGGCACGAGCTACTTGTGTTCAAGCCAGAGAGGTTTATGCAGAGTGAAGGAGGGGTTGAAGTTGATGTTAGAGGTTTCAACCTTAGACTCGCACCATTTGGAGCTGGACGTAGGGTTTGCCCGGGTAAGAACCTAGGCCTTGTGTCTGTGAGCCTTTGGGTGGCTAACTTGGTCCATCGATTTCATTGGTTTCAAGACATGGCTAACCCAGTTGACCCAGCCGAGGTTCTTAAGCTATCTTGTGAGATGAAGAACCCCCTCATAGCTGTGGCTTCCCCATGTTTACTAATTAAAGCTCAAGATATTTTTCTAAGATATATATGGTGTGTAAGATATGTCAAGAAAGTGTGTTTAATATATACAAGTTTGTACTTTATTTAGGAAAATTGCTAATTTTCCTATTAAAGTGTACGTGTTAGGATGATTTATCAAGCTATGTGAGATAGCACATATCTGTTTTTGTGTACGATGATGTTCAATTAGCAGTGTGGAACTTGGTAATATATCAAAAGGAATATGAAGAAAGTCTTTTTATTTCAATTTCAACTAACCAACGTGGATGAAAACAAACTGTTGTTGCATGCATACGCTTCTGCCATAATTTTTTACTAATTAAGTGCTGAAAAAGTTGCCGACACCATAGAATTGACGAAGCTTCTGCCAAACAACTCCTTTTTTGTACAATCTAATATTTTTTTTTGTTTTAGGAATAAAGTCAGTGTAGGTGTTGAATAGTTAGTTTATTTTAAGAAATATGTTTCTTTTTAAAATAAAAAACACGCCTTTTAGCAACTCATTTTAGATTATTATATTATTAAATAGAATTCTCAATTGGGTGTATATAAAAATCAGATATGAATATATTTGTACTCTTTCGAAAATAAGCCTTCTCTGTAGCAATAATTCAATTCTCTTTATAAAAAACTAAATTGGAAGTTTATGTTCTTCAAAAGTATTAATAATGTTGTCTTAAATATCAACTGAATCGAGAAGTTTTGAATTCCAACTTTTTCTTTTATCTTTGTATTTTGAAAAGGTTCACTGCTATGCTTCTGTTGTATTTTTTTTTTCTTCTTTACAAAAATACCTGCAGTTAAAGCTATTTCTCTTAATTCAATACATAGAAAAAGAATATTATACTTTTCCGCAAACGTGTGCATGTATACAAAGTACAAACCATAACACATTGAAAAGTCAGAATTGAATAGCAATTCATTATGGCTTTTTAAGTCAAGCTGTTGTTGCAGTGTTTTCCAAGAGTACAATTGTATATCAGCCTCACCAAACAAGGAAGTTTCTCTATCCAATATATACTCTTCGACTCAACTTGCTTGACAAATACGTTTTAATTTCGTTTAGAATTTCGTCCTACCATGGAGTAAATGGCTAGATTTGACATATTGACATATACTGCATTGATAAACATGTGACAGTGAGGCCGCACCAATTTTTGAAGACTATAACTAGTTAATGCACCTCAAATCTATCTCTGTTTAAAAGTCTCTTGTTCCAAGATACAAAACCCCTCCTACATAAAACTTTTTCCTATTTATATAACACAAACGATTAGCAATAGCATTATAGTAACATTTTCTTTCATGAAAATGTCGTGCAGCAAGAATATTTTCTTCCAAATTCTATGGTGTTTTTCCTTTATCAGTCTTAGTTCCCAAACACAGCGTCATTACAGTTTTGTTGTGAGTCCCTTCGATTCCTATGCATAAAGTGGTGAAATGTTATGCGCCATAGCGTTCATAAATACATTTTCATTTTTTTTGTTTAGTTTTCCAAAACTATTTCTGCATGAATCTACCAGCCAACATAATTCTTCTTGAAGTTTATATGATGACAGAGAGGAATATTTTTGATACCGAGTCGCGTATTTATAAATGACAGATAATTTCTTTTAAGAAAAGTATTATTGTTTTTTTAAACGATTATCATATGAAAATCTATAGATAAAAATACAGGTATGTTGATAAATATAAATTTAGCTAATTTTTTACTCACGGGAAATCAAATCATTTTGATTAATCTTGCAGGTTAGAGAAGCCCAGTATACAAGACTTTGTTCCACAAAAAGCATATTGACTGTGAATGGAAACTTTCCAGGACCAACTATTAGAGTCAACGGAGGAGACACAATCTTCGTTGATGTTTACAACAAGGGCAACTACAATATTACTTTACACTGGTATTGAGTTTTCCATCTTAACCAATGTGGATGACCTATGACAGATAGTACATAATGAATGAAAATTAACCAAAGCCTAATTATCTAAACCTGATTTATGGACAGGCATGGAGTGAAGCAGCCAAGGAATCCATGGACAGATGGTCCTTCATACATCACTCAGTGCCCCATCCAACCCGGAATGAAATTCAGACAAAAGTTAGTTTTTTCTTTCGAGGAAGGGACCATATGGTGGCATGCTCATAGTGAATGGATAAGAGCCACTGTCTATGGTGCTATCTATGTCTATCCGACCAAGAATACTCCCTACCCTTTTCCTCAACCTGATGCTGAGATTCCAATCATATTTGGTATGAAAATAAAGTATACTCTACATTTTCTTATGATTCAACCAAATATCTAGAACATATTTGATACAAGAATGTGGAAAAATGCAACGTTTTATTTATTTATGGATATGCAGGAGAATGGTGGATGAATGATGTCAACGAGGTCTTCAGACAGTCTTTTGAAACTGGAGGAGCCCCAAACGTATCTGATGCTCTCACTATAAATGGTCAACCTGGGGATCTCTTCCCTTGCTCAATGCCAGGTACTCATCAACGTTTCTCTTCACAATAATTCATGTAACCATACTATGATTTATTTGATGCGTGCTAGGTTCAAAACATGTTATTATTTGTGAAAACTAATCATATGCCTATGAACATAGAATATAAATTTTAAGAAGTTAATCAGTGTAAAACATAGTACAATCAACTAATTATAATTTTTATAAAAATACATGATATTAAATACCTTGTATATTATAATTAGATTCAGAGTTCATAATATAATCCTATTCATGGTTTCAGAAACGTTCAAGTTAAATGTGGAGCAAGGCAGGACTTATCATCTCCGAGTTATTAACGCAGCAATGAATCTCATTCTCTTCTTCTCCGTTTCCCAACATAACCTCACTGTTGTTGGTGCTGATGCTGTGTACACCAAGCCATTGACAAGGGATTACATTTGCATATCACCTGGACAAGCAATGGATGTGTTGTTGCATGCCAACCAAGAACCTAATCATTATTATCTAGCTGCGAGGGCATACTCAAGTGGGATTGGTGTTGCCTTTGATAACACCACAACCACTGCTAGAATAGAGTACAGTGGCAATTACACTCCACCTTCATCCCCTTCATTGCCAAACCTCCCCAACTTTAATGATACACAAGCAGCTTTGGAATTCATTACAAACTTGAGAGGCTTACCAGAGAGATACCCCACCCCGGTCCCAACAAACATCACAACTCAAATACTGACCACTATTTCTGTCAACACTTTGCCATGCCCTAATGGCAGAAACGACTGTCAGGGACCAAATGGAACCATTTTCTCTGCTAGCATGAACAACATAAGTTTTCAAAACCCCAACATTGACATTCTCAAAGCCTATTACTACCATATCAATGGGGTATATGAAACGGGATTTCCCAGATTCCCACCTTTTATATTTAACTTCACTGCAGATTTTTTGCCTCTAACATTGAATATACCAAAGCAAGGGACTAGGGTTAATGTGCTGAACTATGGTGCAATAGTTGAAATTGTTTTCCAAGGAACAAACGTTGTTGGAGGGATAGACCATCCTATACATCTCCATGGGTACAGTTTCCATGTTATTGGATATGGATTAGGCAATTTTAACCAAAGTAAAGATCCCATGAATTTCAATCTGGTTGATCCTCCTTATTTGAATACGGTGATTGTGCCAATAAATGGCTGGGCTGCCATTAGATTCGTGGCTGTAAACCCTGGTACGTAACACGACATCCTAGTTTGTATTTCTTTTTTCATTTTTTCAAATGTAGAGCTTATTTTTGTTACATGAACTGCATGCATGTGCTTTCAATTACAGGGGTATGGTTTATGCACTGCCATCTAGAACGACATCAATCTTGGGGCATGGAGACAGTTTTTATAGTGAAGAATGGAAACTCTCCAAGTCAAATATTGCCATCACCGCCGCCAGACATGCCCCCATGTTGAAGAATAGTCTGGACTTTCCTGTTTAGTGAACTTAATTTGATGTATTGACAACAATAAGTTGTTCGTTTTACCTTATCTTTCAAGAGGGCATGTATCAAAAGTTTGGAGAAAAAACTTCTCCAGAGTTTGTAATTGTAATTTTTCAATTGTTTTTTATTATTTTTTGCGAATTTTATTGTGGGTTTCCATCAACATCTGATATTTATAGTATTAAACGCTCGTGTTAAGAATTTCTTTCGGCTATTGCTTGTGGTTGGTTAAGCGTCATTTGTCGCCAAGGCTCAAACATTGTTGATTCCTTGCTAGATAGAACAATCTCATCAAACAATTTGCATGACCATGAGAAACAACTGAAAATCATTGTTGAAATTATATGGGATGGATAAAGAAAAGGGAAAAAAAAAAAATCTTGTTATGGTGTTTCACACTGCCATGTATATTGTTATGCACCACATTTCTAAATTTATTCCGGATTAGGTACTCAGCCTAGATCGTTTGCAAATATAGTTCTTTTCGATTTATTGTCAAAGGTGGGTGTTGGATGATCCATTCGGAAAGAACATTGAAGATCGTTCTTGATTTTAATTTGCTCTTTAAGATTAACAAGCGTTAAGTTTTAAACTATCAAAACTCATTAATGTCATTGTAAATAATGATCCAATGAATGAAATTGTTTTATAAATCATAATTTTAATACTTATTTTGAATGATACATACAACATTACATTGTTGGTGGTGTTAGTATTGAGCCATAATTTTTTGTGGAAGATTGATCTTGTTCAAGAAATTGAATAACATTTTTTTTTTGTGATTGATTGATAGTTACAAAAATCGTGTTTGTATATTTTCTCTATATCAAAGACAGAAATGGGGAGACGAGAAAGAAATGTGAGATAAAATATATGGTATGATAAAGATAAAAGATAATATTATAAATATTGTAAAATTAATATAACTCTTTGACTAAAAAAATATAGTTATGCGGTTTTATGTGATAAATTCACTCATTTTAAAGATATACTAGTTTTAAAATATGCAGAAAATTAAAGTTGATAACGAGAAAGATTTTGTGATGTTTTTGACTTTGAGATTTCTTTCACTTTTGATTTGGATGTATAATCATATGGCGTGACGTTCATGCAAGATTCAGACAAAGCACCCAACTAAAGGAGTGTTTAATATTATCAACGTCAGATGTTGATGGAAAACCCACAATGTGCCAAAATAATATAAAAAACTACTAAATTATGTCAAATAGCAAAACAGGAACAATATCTTTCTCTAAATTTGCAATACATGCATTCTGGAAAGCCAAGGTAAAACAGATGTGTACCTTTCTATTTTTCAATGTATCAAAGGTTACTAAACACAGAATATATCAAAACAAAAAAGATCAATGAAACAGAAAATGTCTAGAATATTCTTCAACATGGGGGCATGTCTGGCGGTGGTGGTGGTAATGTTTCATTTGAAGCCTTTCCATTCTTCACAATAAACACTGTCTCCATGCCCCAAGCTTGGTGGCGTTCTAGATGGCAGTGCATGAACCATACTCCTGTAATTCAAAAAGCACACGAATCATGCAGCTAAAAAGAGTTCTCCACTTATAAAATAAATAATAATGGAAATTAAGAATTAAATTAATATTATAGATATAAGGTGTGTGTATATATTATATGCCACGTACCGGGGTTGGTAGCGACAAACCTAACAGCAGCCCATCCATTTACAGGTACAATCACTGTATTCAAATAAGGAGGATCGATGAGATTGAAATTAAGGGGGTCCTTGCTTTGGTTGAAATTGCCTAACCCATATCCAACCACATGGAAATTGAACCCATGGAGATGCATAGGATGGTCAATCCCTGCAACAACGTTTGTCCCTTGGAATATAACTTCAACCGTTGCACCATAATTCAGCACATTAACCCTAGTCCCTTGCTTTGGTATATTCAACACTAGAGGCAAAAAGTCTGCAGTGAAGTTAAATATAAAAGGTGGAAATCTGGGAAATCCCGTTTTGTATACCCCGTTGATATGGTAGTAATAGGCTTTTAATATGTCAATGTTGGGGGTGTCAAAACTTATGTTGTTCATGCTAGCAGCGAAAATGGTTCCATTTGGTCCCTGGCAGGTTCTGCCATTAGGGCATGGAAAAGTGTTAACAGATATAGTGGTCACTATTTGAGTTGTGATGTTTGTTGGGACCCGGCGGGGGTATCTCCCAGGTAAACCTCTCAAGCTTGTAATGAAGTCAAAAGCTGAAATTGTGTCATTAGAGTTGGGAAGGTAAGGTGATGAAAGAGACGAAGGTGGAGTGTAATTGCCACTGTATTCCACTCTAGCAGTGGTCGTGGTGTTATCAAAGGCAACACCAACCCCACTAGAATATGCCCTTGCGGCCAGATAATAATGATTAGGTTCTTGGTTGGCATGCAATAATACATCCATAGTTTGTCCAGGTGATATGCAAATGTAATCCCTTGTCAATGGCTTGGTGAATAAACCATCAGCACCGACAACAGTGAGGTTGTGTTGGGAAACAGAAAAGAAGAGAATGAGATTCATTGCCGCGTTAACAACACGGAGATGATAAGTCCTGCCTTGCTCTACATTTATTTTGAAAGTTTCTGCAAATCAAAAGGAAAAGTGTGGCGTTTAAAGCTTAACCTCAAAGATATACAAATATTTGAAAGAAGAAATAGTTGACACTATGTTTGTGGACTTTCATATAATAGATTGTATTTTATAATAACCATTCTATAATTCATGACTACCTGTCATTGAGCAAGGGAAGAAATCCCCGGGTTGACCATTTACGGTAAGAGCATCAGATATGTTTGGGGCTCCTCCGGTTTCAATAGATTGAGTGAAGACCTCGTTGACATCACTCTTCCACCATTCTCCTGCAAGCATATGAATGAATAAATATACATTGTGACATTTTTAACCATGTTTCTATCATTATGTTCTAGCTATTTGGTCAAATCAAAAGGAAGCAGAACAATTTTTTTCGTACCAAATATAATGGGAATATCTGCATGAGGTTGGGGAAAAGGGTAGGGAGTACTCTTGGTTGGATAAACAAAGATAGCCCCATGGACAGTGGCTCTTCCCCAGTCACTGTGAGCATGCCACCATACGGTCCCTTCCTCGAATGAAAAAACCAACTTTTGTCTGAATTTTCTTCCAGGTTGGATGGGGCACTGAGTGATGTATGCAGGACCATCTGTCCATGGATTCCTTGGTTGCTTCACTCCATGCCTCCATAAATCAGTTGTAGTTAGTAGGCATTTGATTAAGTTTCATCCATAGTGTTATATTTTCCATAGGTCATTAAAGTAGTTAAGATTGAAAATTCAATACCAGTGTAAAGTGATATTGTAGTTTCCCTTGTTATAAACGTTAACAAAGATTGTTTCTCCTCTGTGGACTCTGATTGTTGGTCCTGGAAAATCTCCATTCACAGTCAATATGCTTTTTGTGGAACACAATCTTGTGTACTGGGCCTCTCTCACCTGCAAGTTAATCAAACTCACTAGTTAACATCCAGTGGTTTAACTATTTCATGATTATTTATTAAAAATTCTTTGTGAATAAACATGTGCTTTAATGTATAAATATTTTAAATGATAAGTTTGAAAAAATACATTTTAATGAAAAAAAAAATTATGCATAAGAAACTATAAAAGAAATAATACAAGAAAACAATAAAAATAATAAGAGTTTAATAAGCATACTGTAAAACTTCTATATGTTGTCAACTAACTGCTACAGTATTAGGAAATGATAGGATGTGACGACTCACAACAAAACTGTAATGACTCCGTGTTTGGGAACTAAGAATTATGAAGGAAAAACACCACAGAACTATTAAGTACAGTTTCTTGCCAAACCACATTTTCATGACAGACAATGCTATGCAACTCCTATTATAATCCTACGGCTAATAGATTATGTATATGAAACTATTCTGCAGAAAAGGTTTTGTATCTTGGCAAGATTTAAACAAAGTTATAGCCTTTAAATATTGGTGCGGCCTCACTGTCACATGTGTATCAAGAAAGTGCAAAGAAACTTAAGAGTGATTCGTTAGGCAATTTGAGTTGAAGGAAACGTATATTATTTAGTGAGCTTCTTGAAAACACTGCAACAACAACTTTACTTAAAACCCATAATGAGTTACTAACTTATCCACTGAATAGTTAAGATGGTTTAATCAAAATAATTGTTGCCGTTTTTATTGTTATTTTTAATTATGACTTTTCATTAAAGGTTTCTACTTTGTATATAGGTATACATGAGTCAATTTGCTCCTAAATTATTGAAATTTAAGTTAGTTAATTATGCATTTAAATTAATAACAATTTATAATATACGAGATATTTTTATTAGCATCTAAAAAAATGTATAGTCTCGACCTCAACCTGTGTTATGGTTGGAATGCATTGTGTATCAAGTAAACCTAAAAAGGAATCATATTATAAAGTGTAGAATAAGGTTTGCAAATTATTCACAACAACTATATATTATTAGAATTAATTCCATAAAATGCTCATTGTAAGACATTACGTAGTTTTCTTACGTTCTTAATTCATTATAGAAAATTACTCTACAGGATCTTTAGATTATTGATTTTCACAATTTTACATACATGAATCATAGTAAGAAGAATAACCTTGATCCATGAGAATCTTTTCTTTGATCTTTTCGTTCTCTTATCTCCTTTTCCCAATCTATCTCTTTGTCTTTCTTTCTCTTCTCACGCTTCGCTTTCTTGATGGTTTACCGTGAAAAAAACCTTATGGCCAGAGACAGAACCCTAATCCCTTTTATTAACCAACGTCCATCAAGTTGGTTACCGTAAATTAATATTTTATTTTATCTTTATTTTATTCTGACTTCACATAATAACAAATAGGTCCTCATATTTTATTAAATCACATTTGGGTCTATTATTATATTTCATATGAGTCACGTAATGAAATGAATTAATTAAATTAATTCTAACACTTGTGTACGCAGTACAATTCAAAATTAAATCAATGAATGTACATCTTAACGTTGTTTTCAATAAACTAGTATGTCAAAGAACTAAATTGTTAGAAGAAATTGGTTATGTTGTTGATGTTTTGTTGACTTCTCTAAGTTATGTTAACGTAATAACGTTGTTTTGAATATATCAATAAAATAAATTCCTTCGCTCTTCATTCGTTGAAGCAGTGTTTTTAATGTAAAATAAATTTTTTTATATAAGAAAATAGCTCAATTATAACGCGTGATTTATATTAAACAAAATAAAATCTAACTTTTGCGTACACGAATGGTTCATTAATGATAAACAAATCTGACTCCTTGGATCAATTAAAGTATGGACTACAAAATTGTATCTCTTTATATTGTGTAAAAAAACAATAATAATAATAAATAAAACGGAATTAATTATAATGAGCAATTACATGATGATTAACCTATAACTATTAATTATGAAATCTTGATTTAACCCAAATCAATTTATATAAAACATAAATTAATAATTTAATGTAATATAAATTATATATCACATCGTACGTATGAGCAACTCAATTTCCAATATGAAGATTTAAAAATACATGATGCTCTCTGCCTCCCAAAAAAGTCATGATTCACTTCTGAACGAAGTCTTACCTTAAAACCGTCCAACTTTTCACAAACATGAACCATAAAATCATGTAGACATAACCAAAAAAAATTCTCTATTCTTTATTATATATATTGCCACTTTGTTATCTGAGTGAAGAAGATACATCGACACCTTTTCATTTTTAAACACCAAAATAATATCATGCCAACAAGGTGAGACAGTTTAAAAAAAAATTGTTTAATTGATTCTTCATCAATCAATCTGGCAAAAATTAAGAGAGAGAGAGAAATCAATTGGCAAATTTAAGGTGGCAATACATCAGCAGTTGCACTGGTTTCAGCATTATGCTGACTCTAATCATGTCAGATGCCAGGAAAACAGGGAAATGAATGAGAAGAAACCGCCATTAGAGAAACAAATGAGGAGTAAATTGAAAATTATATACTCCATGATAGCTATATATGCTTCTTACCTGCCCCACTCCACCCAATATTATATCATATTAACACATTATCTTCCTTGCACCATCCTACATTGTTCCTCTTCCACATGCTTACACTGGAACTTGGACTAATTATATATAAATCTCACCAATTAAACTATATATCCTCCTCAATCTTCTATATATACTTACTATCAACTCCATCCTTCTATGTCTCAAACAGCTCAACTTTCCAAGACCAGGCCAATGGAAAACCTTCCACCATTGATTTACAAAAACCCCATTAGGAGAACCTCTAGGAGATCTACAATGTATCTTGGCGTGAGAAGAAGGGCGTGGGGAAGATATGCTGCTGAGATTAGGAACCCTTATACCAAAGAGAGATACTGGCTAGGCACATTTGACACTGCTGAAGAGGCTGCTATAGCCTATGATCTTTCATCTATCAAGATTTGTGGCATTAATGCTCGAACTAATTTTCATTACCCTTTTGTATCTCTTCCACCAACTCCTATGTCACTGCCTCCTCCACCGCCACCACCTACCCCGGAGTTGGATCAAGTGGTGGAGTTTGTCCAGAGATGAATGCTGATTTCGATGGCGATGATGATGTTGGTCAAAGAAAGTGGGCAAGGGTGGCTGCAATTGGTCAAAGAAAGTGGGCAAGGGTGGCTGCCAAATTTTTTATGTAACCATGAGGTGCTCATGGGACATATTTTAATGTAATGCACAGTGCCAATTTTTTGCTATAAATTGGTCTTCTCCCTACAAGCAAGAGTATCCCATCCCACACAAAATACTACTTCTCTTAGAGAAGAAAGAGTGACACCAGTGAGAGGCAGAAAAACTAGAGAGTTTTAGTTTAGCTTCTGGGTGTAATTGGGTTGTGAGTTGTGAGTGTTTTGGGAGTGTTTTGTAAACACTTGTGTATTTTTCTTTTCTCCCGAGAAGAGATCCGTAGTAGTCCGGAGACGTAGGCATTATTGGCCGAACTCCGTTATCAACTTGTGTGTGCAATTATTCCGCTTTTATTTCACTTTCACGGATCCGACCATATGGGAAGATTCGAGCATATTTTTCCCAACAAGCTGGTATCGAAGCTCGGTTGTTAGTTCCGTAATTCTTGTGGTGTTACTATTCATATGAATAGTAAGTTACTATTCCGTGAATAGTGAAAACGTGAATAGTGCAAATTTTGTCGGCGTTACAAATTTGCCCGCAGTCGTGTTCTGAAACACGGTAGCTCACAAGAATTGTCGAAACGATCCAGGCAGATAAGTCGGATCGAGTTGGAGTGATGGCTGCAGACGAAGGAAAAATGAAAATCGAAAGGTTCGACGGTACGAGACTTTGGCTTCCGGAAGATGCGGATAGAGGATTATCCGTATCGGAAGAAGATGCATCAACCACTCACGGGGAGAAGCCGGAAACCATGAAAGAGGAAGAATGGAGACTCCTTGATAGACAGGCTCTTGGAGTTATTCGTCTAACATTATCCCGTAATGTTGCTTTCAACATTGTGAAAGAAAAGACGACCTCGGATCTCATGAAGGCTCTTTCCAACATGTACGAGAAACCATCGGCCTCAAACAAAGTTCACTTGATGAGGCGATTGTTCAACCTGCGGATGTCCGAAGGTGCTTCGGTGGCAAATCATCTCAATGAACTCAACACCGTAACAACCCGGTTGAGTTCTATTGACATCAAATTCGATGATGAAGTACAGGCTTTAATACTTTTGTCTTCCCTACCGGAGAGTTGGAATGCTACGGTCACGAGTTGTGAGTAGCTCATCGGGAAACAATAAGTTAAGATTTAATGATGTTCAAAATTTGGTTCTCAGCGAAGAGATCCGACGGAGAGAGTCGGGTGAAGCATCAACCTCTTCGCATTGCATACAGAGTCAAGAGGAAGAAGTTCAACCAAAGAAATTGGACATGGAAAATCAAAGGACAAGGCGGTCCAAGTCCGAGAATCATCGTAGTTCCCACAACTCAAAAACGATCGAGTGTTGGAATTGTGGGAAGACCGGACACTTCGAAACCGAGTGCAAGAGTGCACGGAAGAATCAAGGAGCAAAGGACGAAGCAAACGTTGCCTCCACCTCGGGAAAAGATGAGGCGTTGATATGCTCTCTTGAAGGCAGGGAGGAGTCTTGGGTGTTAGACTCGGAGCATCTTTTCATGCTACCTCACGAAGGAACTGTTGGAGAATTATGTTCCCGGAAACCTTGGTAAGGTTTACCTTGGTAATGAACAATCATGTGAGATTGTAGGCAAAGGTGCGAGTAAGGATTAAGCTCGAATGGGTCCGTATGGGAATTGAAAAATGTCGGACATATTCCCGACTCGACAAAGAGCTTAATCTCAGTAGGTCGGCTTAGCTAGTGAAGGCTATACGACAATCTTCCATGGTGATGAATGGAAGATCTCAAAAGGTGCGATGACGATTGCTCGAGGCAAAAAGAGTGGAACTCTCTACAAGACTGCAGGAGCATGTCATTTGATTGCAGTTGCAAGCAAATGAAAATTCCAACATATGGCACCAAAGACTTGGACATATGAGTGAGAAAGGAATGAAGGTCATGCACTCGAGAGGAAAATTACCAGGTCTTCGATCGAGTAGATATTGACATGTGTGAAGATCGCATACTTGGAAAGCGAAGAGAGTCGGCTTTCAGACAAGTAAAAGAACCCCAAAGAAAGAGAAGCTTGAGCTCATCCATTCTCGATGTTTGGGGTCCAACGACCGTCCCATCCGTTGGTGGGAAGCATTACTTCGTGACTTTCATTGATGATCACTCCGGAAAGGTATGGGTTTACTTTCCGAAATATAAGTCGAAGTATTTGAAGCTTTCAAGATATGGAAAGCTATGGTGGAAAATGAGACAGGATTGAAGATTAAGAAGCTCGGATCCGACAATGGTGGTGAATATGTAGACACCAAATTCAAGAAGTTTTGCTATGAGCACGAATCAGAATGGAGAGAACCGTGTCGGTACGCCTCAACACAATGGTGTAGCTGAGCGTATGAATCGAACGTTGATCTGAAAGGGCCGAAGCATGCGTGTGCGATCAGGCTTACCAAAGCAGTTTAGGCGTATGCAGTCAACACAGCGAGCTTACTTGATCAACCGAAGTCCATCGGTACCATTGGAACACAAGATACCGGAAGAGGTATGGAGCGGAAAAGAGGTAAAACTCTCACATCTTAGAGTTTTTGGCCGTGTAGCATATGCGCATATCGCTGATCAAGGCAGAAACAAACTTGATCCAAAATCAAAGAAATGTACTTTCCTTGGTTATGGTGAAGATGAGTTTGGCTACCGCATATGGGACGATGAAAACAAAAAGATGATCCGCAACGGAGACGTAATCTTCAATGAAAGAGTGATGTACAAGGACAAGCATAATACAGATGCCAGCAACTCGAAGCGAGTGGGCCGGTTTATGCAGAGGTGGAAGATATCCCGTGAAAGTCCTATAATGAGGAGTCCTCGGCTAGAGGAATCGGTTGAAGAACTTGATGTGCAAGCGTAACCTCCTACTCCAACTCCCGTATTGAGAAGGTCTTCTCGGCCTCATGTGCCTAACAGGAGATACATGGACTATATGTTGTTGATCGATGGAGGGAGCCTCGAAGATTATACTGAAGCTTGTCAAGCCACGGATGCTAGCAAGTGGGAGCTTGCCATGAAAGACGAGATGAAGTCTTTAATCTCAAATCGGACATGGGAACTAGTCAAGTTACCTATGGGAAAGAAAGCACTTCACAACAAATGGGTGTATCGAGTGAAGGAAGACCATGATGGTTCTAAGAGATACAAAGCTCGACCGGTCGTCAAAGGATTTCAGCAGAAAGAAGGAGTCGACTACACCGAAATCTTTGCTCCAGCTTGTAAAGCTCAATACTATCGGGATCGTGTTAAGTATTGTGGCTAGTGAGGAGCTCTACCTAGAGCAATTAGATGTGAAGACCGCATTTCTTCATGGAGATTTAGATGAGGAGATCTACATGCACCAGCTGAAGGTTTTTCGAAGGAAAGAAGAACTTGGTGTGCAGATTGAAAAAGAGCTTGTATGGCCCGAAACAAGCTCCAAGACAGTGGTATAAGAAGTTCGAAAGCTTCATGCACAAGGAGAGTTTTCGAAGTGCAACGCCGATCACTCGTTGTTTCTTCAAGAGGTATAAGTCCAGTTATATCATTTTGCTACTTTATGTTGATGATATGCTAGTAGCGAGGTTCGAGATATGAATGAGATCATAAACTTAAAGAAGCAGTTGTCAAAAGAATTTGACATGAAGGACTTAGGCCCAAGCAAAGAAGATTCTTGGAATGCAAATCACGAGAGATAAGCAAAAAGGAGTTTTGCAGTTATCTCAAGCGGAGTACATCAACCGTGTTTTGCGAGAGATTCAACATGGACAATGCCAAACCAGTCAATACACCTTTGGCTTGCCATTTTCGTCTATCCAAGGATCGGTCTCCTCAAACAAAGGAAGAAGAAGAGTTAATGGCTAAGATTCCGTATGCTTCAGCCATTGGAAGTTTGATGTACGCGATGGTCCGTACGAGGCCGGACATTGGCCATGCAAGTGGGAGTTGTAAGCGGATTCATGTCAAATCCAGGAAAAGCTCATTGGGAAGCAGATCAAATGGATTCCGAGGTATCTACGAGGCACAACAGAAAAATGTCCGTATTTTAGAAAAGGAGATCTAAAATTGCAGTGGCTACGTAGATGCGGACTTTGGAGGTGAAGTTGATCACCGAAGAAGCACCACTGGGTATGTGTTTACTCGTTGGAACTACAGCTGTTAGTTGGATGTCACGGATACGTAAGATTGTTACTTTATCCACTACGGAGGCTGAGTATGTAGCAGTGACGAAGCCAGTAAAGAATTGATATGGCTTCAAGGATTGTTGGCGAGTTGGGATTCATTCAAGAAAGGAGTGTTTTGCACGGTGATAGTCGAGTGCAATACATCCGACAAAAAATTCAGACATTTCACTCCGTAACCAAACACATCGACATACGTTATCATTTCATCGGATCTCTACTTGAGGATGAGATGCTAACATTGAAGAAAATTGTGGGAAGTAAGAACCCAGCGAGATATGCTAACAAAGGTGGTGACTATTGACAAACCGAAGTTATGCTCAACTTCGGTTAGCTTACAAGGATAACAGACAAGAGAAGACTACTATTGATCAAGGTGTGAGGACAAATTGAAATCGGTCCTCAAGTGGGAGATTGTTGGTCAAAGAAAGTGGGCAAGGGTGGTCGCAATTGGTCAAAGAAAGTGGGCAAGGGTGGTCGCCAAATTTTTTATGTAACCATGAGGTGCTCATGGGACATATTTTAATGTAATGCACAGTGCCAATTTTTTGCTATAAATTGGTCTTCTCCCTACAAGCAAGAGTATCCCATCCCACACAAAATACTACTTCTCTTAGAGAAGAAAGAGTGGCACCAGTGAGAGGCAGAAAAACTAGAGAGTTTTAGTTTAGCTTCTGGGTGTAATTGGATTGTGAGTTGTGAGTGTTTTGGGAGTGTTTTGTAAACACTTGTGTATTTTTCTTTTCTCCCAGAAAGAGATCTGTAGTAGTCCGAAGACGTAGGCATTATTGGCCGAACTCCGTTATCAACTTGTGTGTACAATTATTCCGCTTTTATTTCACTTTCACAGATCTGACCATATGGAAAGATTCAGCATATTTTTCCCAACAGATGAATCTCTGGTTATTGCTTCCATTTTGCAAAGCTTTTCTAACACTGTTAACTGTTCTTTTTAGCTTTTGGTATTCCCATGAAGCCTAAAAGGCCTTCCCCTTATCAACTAGCTGTAGGACCAATAATTCTAATTTTTTTTTTCTCCTTGTATATCCAGCAATATTTACTTCATGGCTTCTACCAAAATTTCTACATATTCAATTACTTGTACGGTGTTATCGTATCATCATAGTTTCACAATGATATTATCACCCACCATTAAACTTAACTAGAAAACTAACCTTAGATATAAATAAATAAATAAAAACAAAATTAAAATCATCTGATTTTACGGAATTGAACAGTTAAATAAACCTAAATTATATCATCCAGAAAATATATATCATCCAAAATAAAGAATATAGTACTATAAATACATATTTTTATTGATTATAATTTATTTAAGATTCCAAAATTAAGATGAGAATCCTTAAATAAATGATAAGACCCGTCAAATTTTATAACTTCTAATAAATTTTAACTTGGAAAGAATGTATTAAAAATTAATTTCTAACATTTGTATATTATAAAAGAGAACAACTTTTACTACCCGCAATACAAAAACGAAGTGAAAAAAAAAAACGTTGGCGGCATCTAACTCAAAAGCTCCTCTTATTCTTCTTTTATTGAAAATTTTAAAGCGGAGTAATTGATTACAGTTCAAAAAATGGAATAGTGAACCTAAATGTTAAGCTACAGAAAACAAGGCTTTAAATAAAAAACTAAGGTTTCATGCCAAAAAAATAGTGAGAAATAAAATAATAAAAAATTGAGGGGCATCAACCTAGTCAATTTCATTTTTTTTTTCTTCATTCATTGTTGTGGAAAACAATTATCAATACCTAGAAAATGGGAATGGGATATTACCATTTTCCATCAATTCTAATGATACTAATCAAATAAAAGAAACATAATTTGTACCATACCATGGCCCTGGTTTGACACACCACCCTTCTTGCCGGTACTTGAGACATCATAGTCTCATTGTCTCGTTTTTTGTTGTGGTAGAAAGTTGCTTCCACTTATGTCTCGTCTTCTGTGTAGCCCCTCCTTTATGAAGGAAAAAACTGGTGCCACAATTTTTATATATTCATTAAAGTTGACACACAAAATAAGATATATAGTACTACGATGCTAAAATTAAAATCTCTTGCAGGCGCTGTATATGAAGCTGAAAATTGTCCGGCTCGGGCACAAGCTAGCAATTAAATACTGATATGAATTTACAGGTCAGTTCTTCTGTCTATCTGCATAAACATTTAATTCACACACACATTCAACTCTTATCTCAAAATGGTAAAGTAGGAAAGCAAGGATGAATAAATAGGTAGAGAAAGCAAAGCTATGGCAACTAGCTTCTATTTAGATAAACACTAAGAAGGAAATCCAGCACAATTTTTCATTTATTCTGAAGGTCTGGCTGGTCCTAGAGTAAGTCCTGACCTTCGAATACCACATCTTCAAAGTTCCTGCAGACAAAAGACTTGCTAATTAACCCGATTTCTAGTTTAAAATGCAAAGATTTTGATATCTAGAAAAGAAAAAGGTTAAATGGGATTTGAGATTTGATGACAGGAAGAAGCTTACTGACAGCTGAGAAGTTGAACTGGTACAAAACATCCAAGTGCAGAGCCATGGCATATATTAATTATGCTGAGGGCCTGATCCGTGGCTAATTGGAGACCTTCGACTACCACCACGCTTTGCTATTGAACTTGCATTCTACATAATGTATTTTAAGAATTTGGTCAGTAGCACAAAAAATTAAATGGGTTTGTGTTTTGGATTATTACTCCCCGCTATGATGTTTCCATGCACCTTGTCTTCACTGTCTACTAGAGACAGTGCCACAAGTGGCTTGGAGTTCAGTTCTAGTGGGGTGATGATGCCCAATATTGATGAGAAAAAAAAAAAAAAACAAAGTTTCTGGATTATATGCTTACAAACAACATTATGTTTATAGCAATTAGCGTTTGACCTTATAAAATTTAATCTTGATAGTCATTAGCTACTACAAGGCAGGGTTTTTCTTTGTTCTCAATGGTCTGTCTAGTCGTATGGTTTACATAGTATGTACATGGAATTGGTTACCCCTTTGTATGGCTTATCTAATACATGCTTGCTTTGCTGATAAAAAACACACACACTTATGTATTTACAAAGAGAGAGAGAGAGGGTAACATACAATGGTTTGCTCTGTTGTGGATGGTGGATCTGCAGCAGCATGAGTTTGTGGCAGTGAGCTTCTCTCTTGTTTTGCCTGTGAACACATTGAGGATCCAGACTCAATACCAAGACACCTCAAAAGAGCCCTGAGTGCTTCTTGAAGAAAATAGCATGGATGGTACGCATAGAATGTGGCTCTTCTCTCTTCTTCATGCGATGGTGATGATGACCCTTCCATTCTTCTTTACCTTAACTTCTGCTTTTCAGTGCTTGTTTGTTTCTGTTACCTCCCACCACCCGCTTATAAATGCAGTCCCTTCTCCAAAACTTGTATAGGTTCATGTATTATAAGGAAATAAATAAATAAAAAATAATTTATAACAAAACCAACATGGTAGATTCGACCATTTCTAAACTCTCTTACTGATACAATTCTGAATTATTTTCATTTATTTCTTTTATCTTTCAAATTCTTCTCAACCAAATCATTAATGCCGAATTCTACAAGAGAAGTGTCCATAAATATTTTTCCTTTTAAATAAAGTACTACAGCAGAGGTGGAAGTGTAAGAACAGAAGACTTGGTATGAAAAGATTTAGAAAAATAGGTGAAAGTGTAAAGTTATGTTCTTGAATTGCATGGTACCTACTCCAGTAAAGTTGTCAGAGTGATAAGTGTTGAGCATTAACTGAGGGAAAGGAATTGTATGAATGTTGTTGTCCTTATTGCACCTAATCTCATTTTCAATTACTTCCCACGTTTTCACTGTCCTCTGATATGAAATATTGGTCATACAAAGTATGAGGCCCACATCCACGTGGTTAACTCTCCCTTCATCTCACACGCCATGACATGCGTGCCAACTTCAATGATAAACAACTCTAGTTTTGAGATTTTTCTTTTCCTATTTTTAACAAAATCTCTACACTTATAATTACCCTATATGGGGAGTATAACCTAAATTTATAAAACCATATATAAATATTTTTCTATTTCATTAACAACTTTATTTATTAAGATATACTCTGGAAAAAGATACTTTAACAAAGTAATTGATATGATATTAAAATCAAATCAAATATTTTAATTATATAAAATACATATTTTTTTATAATTATTATATTAAAAATATTTTTTGCCCAATAAAAATATCTATCTTTTATTTATAGTATTCAAATAATGAGTTATTCATGTAAATATGCTTAAGTAGGATGAGATGTAAATTTCTTGAAAGAATTAAATTTATCAATATAACGAAAATAATGTCATTTATTTTTAGTTTCGATTTGCACATATTATTTCTTTTGGTTTTTTTTATTCAATGTTTAAATTCAAAGAAAACGAAGATCCGTGTAGTTTTTGTTTTTATTTTTTTAATTCTTGGTTTTTTGTCAATTTCACTCTCAAATAAAGAATTTTGAAAGAAAGAAATATAGAAAACATATATATAAACCTTAACTAAAACAAAACAACAACATTTGCATCATATTGATTATTTTTTTCCTTCAAATAAAAATATTAAAAACACATGTAAAAATATTACGAGTAAAAAAGTAAACATATTAATCCTATTTAACAGTTGATATGTAATTATAAGGACATTTCATCATTTAACATATATCATTAAACTATAAAAAAACAAAATAAAGTAAACAAAAATATTGAAGATCGAAATAAGAAAAATTATCAAGGACTATATGAGAAAAATCTTTAAATTTAAGACGAAAAGAAAATTATTTAAGTCTGCATTAAATTAAAAAATTATATATATGAAGTTTGAAAAAACTATGGGCAGAAAAATAATACTGGCAAAAACATAAAGATAAAGGATTACTCTTTTAGTTATTTTTGTACTAGTTGTTAAAAATAAGCCCATTTGTAAAAAGGTTTTACATTAAGATACCAACTGTTATCCTTTTATTAAAATTATATAAAAATAAATCATCTTCAACACCTTTTTTAAAAATATTTTATAAAATCTTATTTTGAAAAAATAGCATTCTTATTTTAATTTTTAACCATGCAAAAAAAAAAAAAGTCAGTGAGTTGTTTTTTTAAAAAACCTCGATGAGTATTAAAATGAGCTCATTTGATCAAGTTTTTTCTAGATTCTGATATATTACATGTATTATTTGAAACGAAAAAATGGTTTAATTTTGTTTTAAAAAAATTATGAAATCGATTTCTTAAAGCAAATAACTGTCAAATAAAATTAACAATATATTTATAATTTAGGGACCAGGCCCAATGCACGAGCTTTGATGTAACGTACGCTTGCTAAACTATTTAGGTTTATAATTTTTTTTAATTCCATACTCAAGTTAAATATTTAAAATATATTTTTATAATTTTATATTTTACTCTAATTTTTTATTTATGTATAATTTTTACATCTTTATTTTTCAGCACTTCATCTTTTGGTTATTTGATTTTTTTAGTATCTTATTTTTATTAAAAATCTTTTCTAATAATTATAAATAAGTAATTATTAATATTAGGTATGAATTATATGTTTCTATATTAAAATCAAATTGTTCAATATAAAATAATATTATAAAAATGAGGTTGAATTCTAAAACAGATATTATTGAGTGTTCCAAAAATTCATTCTAAATTAAGTATTCTAGAATATGTTTCCTAAAAAGTTAATATAGAATATATTATGAAGATGAAGATTAAGATAAATGATAAAATAAAATGGGCTTTATTTTAATTATGGGGTGCAGGAAGAAATAATGAGTGCAGAAGCAAAAGCCAACTATTTACTTATATATCTGACAAATTAATATGGCCCTAGCCCATTTTCTTGATTGCGAAGCCCAATGTAAACGTATATTATTTTAAACTTCATCAGTGTTGAAAGAGAAGGTAAACCTTTTTAAGGTTAAAATGATACGACAAATTTTATTTTTTTTAGTATTTAATATTTTCAGCAGAAAAGTTATATAAATTTTAAGACCACAAAAATGAGAATGAATAATTAAGTATGAAACATAAGTCCAGCATCGCCAAACTTATGTTAAATGTAATAAAAAATTAAAAGTGAATTACACATAAAAGTTTGTTAAAGGATAAATAAAAAAAGAATAAAAAATGAAGAGACACGTGTGAGGAAATGAAGAGGGGTTGGGTTAGGCCCAAAGATTGAAATAGAGAAGCAGTCCATGTTTGAGGCAAAAGGGTTTTTAATGGGCCCCTCAGAGGAATATGTGGTGAATACGACCATTTGGTTTTTTGTACAGAAGAGAACAGAAGGCAACATTATTTATTTGCAATGCATGAAGTTGGAAAGGAAAAAGAAAATTAAAAAAAGTGACACACGTGGGAGTGGAAAAGTACCTCTCTACCAAATCAACCACTTACATAAAAGTCCAAAATTAGTGGGTTTGGAATTAATTTGGATGGTGTTAGAGAAATAGATGGATGTGTACATGTTATGTAACAAGCAACTATGAACTACGAAAATGTCTCTTTCTCCCAACACCTCAATCTTCAACCTTTCTCTTTGTCCTCCTCGTTGGAGCCACTCACAACAATACATTTATATCTTTTATTCTTCACTTTTTTTAAAAAAATTTATCAACTACTTTTTCGTTTAAAAAAAAAACACTAATATAAAATTATTTTGCGTGTCTTCATCCTATTCGATATTGTTAATTTTTATGCACGTGTACTGTTAATAAATTTTATTATCATATTAAAAAAAAAACTTGAAAAAAAAAATTATTCACAGATACCCCATTTCGGTGTCAATACGGTGAAATATTAAATCTGAGTGTAATCTTAATTGGACAATTTATTAAAACAAAAATAGCTTTCAATTAGAGTCTTCAATAATTATTGATTAATTAATGTATATATATATATATATATATATATATATATATATATATATATATATATATATATATCTAAATAATGGTTCTTATTGGCATGTTTTGGCGTTGTTGCCATCAAAGTTGTGCCTTTAAGAAAAGTACTTCTGCAATCATTAATGCCATTACAATCCAACACCATACTCCACCTTAATCTTCTTCTTATAATGTTTTCATTTCTTATTCGGTGTCAATTTGAACTTGATTAAGTTTTGTAACAGATAGCTTATATTTAACCTAAATTTATGTCTCTTATCATTTCCATAATCACTGAATTTATGAGACACATATAAACGTAAATCTAATACTGTTCCTTTTTTTCTATTTTCATTAAAAAGAAAATTCAAATAGAAATACATGTCTTCTTTTTCAGATAGAAGATGATAAAATTAACAGTGTTCTACAAAAATATATTTTTTTATGAAATAATTTTTATATTTAATCCTTAGAATCAAAATCAACAAGATATTAAATTTCCATCAACTGCTGCATACGTTAACATTATATTATGTTATCTTATTGTCTTGTGAAATCAAACACTCCCTTCAAGATGTTGAAGATGAAGAAAAGAGAAGAAAAAATGTAAAGGTTAGAAGAAGAGAAAGAAGATGAAGAAGGGGAATTGTAGGAGAGTGTGAGTGCCCCCACTTGAGACTTTGGGTCACATGGTACAGTACAACCTCTTTCACACCAAAAGATCACCATCGAAATCATTTATCTGTAGAAAGCAGGAGCCAAAAAAGAAAGATGGGGTGGCAAATTTGCAAAGAAAGAAAGAGAAAAAAATGATTAAAAAGTTGTAGCATGAGAAGAAGCTTTCCATAATTTAAGCCCCCAAATAATGGCGAAGAACACCGAAGAAGAATCGAGGATAATGTGGCGGAAAGGACAGAGTGTTGTTTGCACCTAAACTTTTACTAACGTGGCTGACACAATTTGACATTTGATAAGGATAATTGATATCATACTCCCATGTTTTAGGCTTTTATTATATCACTCCCTTCAAACAAAACAAACTACGAGGATTTTCCACTTTATATTTCATTCACATAAAAATAAATCTTAACACCATTTTTAATAATTTTATTTTATATCAATATATAAAAAATAATCGCTTTTTAGTTTCACTAATTTAATAAGTTATTTACTTTATATATTTTCTTTTTTCATTTATTGAATCATACATTTTTTTAATGTAAATAAAATTAATTAAAAATTTATTCTCTTTTTTCTGTTCCTTCAATCATATATTTCATACATTTTTCATGTTGAATATAAATTAATAAATAAAATAATAAAACGTTATCATTTTTTTCATTATATATTTTTTTCTACTTTAAAATATTATCATGTTCGTGGTCTCTGACCATTTACAATTTTATAATAAATAAGATATTTATATTTTAAAATTAATATATATGTATATATAATTATTTTAAATAAAAATATAATAAAAATTCGGATACACGTACGAATATATTTTCGTTAATTATTAATATTGTAATTAGTTGGAGCTGGATAAAATAAAAATAAATAAATAAAACCATTTGTAGGTAATGTGAGATAATTATTTAACAAACTTGACGGTATTTATAAACAAAATGAATTTTATTATTTTTAAACACTATATGAAATAGAAACATTGAAATTTGGTTGAAGGCAAATGCATATGATCAGAATCTATATCATAAATAATACATTTAAAAAATAAATTATTTAAATAATTTTTATTTATTGTTTAAACATAAAATTCAATAAATAAAAATAAATTTATTTGACATTCTTTTTTATTTATCTCTTTTTTTCATTCATTTTTTTTATTTTATTTTATTTATTTAATCTTATTAATCAATTAAAAATAATAAATTAAAATTTTATAATATAAGTCTCTTTTTATTATTGAAAAAAAATTAAATAATTTAGAAATATTATAGTTAAATACATTAATATATTATATTAAAAAAATTATATGATAAATTTGAGATGTTATAATAATAATAATTATTATTATTAATAATATTATTATTATTATTATGTTATAATTATTGAGAAAAAATTAAATATCATTTAAAAATATTTTTTAAAAAATATTTTTTAAAATTATTAATATAATTAATTATCATAATTTAAAATATTTTAAAAGAAAAATTACTTAAATAGAACATATATAAATTTATTTACCTAAATAAATTTTTTTACTATTTATTTGTACATTTTTTTCTTTGTGATTTTTTTACTTTTTCTATTTTTTCATTCAATTTTTTTTCTATCTTTATCTCTCCTTTCTCTCTTATTACTACTTAAAATTTAATAAAAATATATTATAAATTTATTATAAAAACAATATTAAAACTAACTGATCATTTAAAATTATTATGACAATATATAAATTTATTTATTTTGATAATAAATAATTTTATTAATGATAATGAAAATAATTAATTTAAAGTTACTTTATTATAATAAATAATTACTCATCTAATTTTAAAAAATGAAATATTTATAAATTAAATATATTTTTTATTTAATAATTATGTCTAATTATAATAATTTTAAGTTATGATAATTAGTTAGATTAGTAATTTTAAAAAATATTTATTAAACAAAACTTTAAAATAAATATTTAATTTGTTTTAATAATTATAAGATAACAATAATAATATTTGGAACATATATAATATTTTTTTCAAATATAATATATTAATATATTCAATTTTAGTAATAAAAAACCTTATATTATCAAATTTTAATTTATTATTTTCAATTGAATAATAAGACGAAGTGAGAAAAAAATAAAAAAAGTAAATAAAAAGAAAAAAGATAAGAAAAATATTTGATATTGATTAGTGGTAATAAACATTTTAGGATCCTTGATAAATTGTTCACGTGACACTTTAAAAAATTATGTAACAAATCCTTGCGGAGTTCAACACACAATTATCTAAAATCATGTTCGATTCTCTATCATATACCAAGAAAAAAATCATCACACAGGTTAGTTTTAAAACCAACAAAATTTATAAATTCATAAATAAAAATATATCCGCATAAAAAAATATCACAAAAATATATAGTCCTTGTTTAGAAACATGAGAAATTTTTATTTTGAGCTATACAATTATATAGTTACTTTATAAGTTATTTACCTTTATTTTAATATTTATTTAAATAAAATCTAATAATATAAATGTACTATATATCTTCTTTTCTAATAGTAGCTAAGTGAACAATTACAGAAGACTTTTAAAAATAAAAATAAAAGAGTGTCACTTTCTGATATTGACATTGAACAATTATGAAAATGTTGCATTGTACTAAGTTTTCCAATTGTAGCAAGTCAACTTTTTTATTTATTTATTTTTTTGGGCAAGGGAGGTTTTACACAGCATTAATTACTCTTAAAATTTCATGAATAGCCTATGTAGATAGTTAACTTAGCCACTCATTATTCTTCAGATATTAATGTAAAGGATTGGGCTTATTCATTGGCTAAAATATCTATTAAATATTCATTTTTTTTTGTTTAAGATCACATGCATTTTTTTATCAGGTAAGTTAATAATGTTGTTTAAAGAAGTCAAAATTATTGAATTCAAATTGAGGTTATTTAGAACTAAGAAAAGACAAAAAATAAAGTATGAGTGAAATATTATAAAGAATAAGATTAATTTAATTAATTAACAAATATTTTTTAAATTATAATAAATAATTTATTATGTGATAAAATTATATATATATATATATATATATATATATATATATATTAAATAAAATTTTGAAATGAATACAAAAATAGCAAGAATAACATGTATTAAGTTTTGAAATTGGTATGTAAGACACCAACGTGATTAGTATTTGAGGAAATGAAAGTTTGAAGAAATTTTTTGTAGTAACTAAAGTACCACGGTGCGTGCGTTACCTACCATATCATATCATATAATTTCATGCGTTACACAAACATGCCTTTGACTAACCTACCAATTTTAATATTTTCCATTTATATAGAAGATTGGTCAAATGTGTTATCATCATTCACTCATACGCTAAATTTCAATACCCTCTTTCAATTTAAAGACATCAATAATTATGTAATTAAAAAAATTGATAATTTTTTAAATATACCCATCATTCGTAATAAAAACAATATACTAACTTTATATAAAACACAGAATAATCTTGATTCATGGCATAAAATGGAAATTCAGTTGTAAGAATAAGGTGGGCCCTTCATAAATATAAAATTGAGAGGGTTTGAGTTACCCCTTTTATTCAATCAATACCTAATTTTTTCCATTCCAAGTTCATTATTTTTCTTCCTGGCCTAACAAATCATATCTATCTAACTTTGCATCAACCACGAATTAAGCATCTTATTTTACCTAAAACAATAGACGCATACTCATGCCAAACAATCTTTATCACTTTCAACGACAAAGATTAAGAAATTGATCCATGATGAGGTGTTTCATCATTGCTTTCTCATGGTCCTCTCCATGCACGCACAAGTGGCAACCGTTCAAGAAATAAAAGATGTGATATTAATGGTAATAAAGACAGAGTAATACATGGGATTGCATTCTTGTTTTTATTCCAGTGAAGTGAAGAAAGATAAAATAAATGAATAATTCATAGTGTACTAAAAGACATGAGTAGTTAATGAAGCTATGATTTTGAGAAAACAAATGAAAAAAACTGTTTTGGCATGAAGAGAATTATATTCACACATTCATGAATTATTATTCAAATTAATCACATGAGTTGACTCAATCACACTTCAAATTTTTCTACAGTTATGGCTACATGCTTTATTAATTGTATAAATTAGTCATCTTTTGAATAAATACCAGTAATATTTATTGCATTATTAAATACTAAATACTCCCATTGGAGTTAATTAAAATCAGTGTATTATTACTGAATATTAATTAAAAATATTATATAGAAATTTATTAAATATTTTATTTAAAATTTAAAGTATTAAAATATTTATTCAAACTACCTCCGGAACTGGCTCCCAGAGTTTTAAAACGAAAACAAAAGATGGCTCATGAGCCATTCCTAGTGCTAGGGTTAATCAAAGCCACGTTGAAGGGCAGAAATTAATCTTAATCACTACAAAAAAAAATTCCATCATTAATCGTAAAATTAATTTGAAGAAAAAAAAACGCGTAAAATTATCTATTATTATATTAAAAATAATTAATTCTAAATGTCAATTTACATGCTTCAAAAAAGTACACCCATTTAAGAAGTATTTTACTTTATTGAAAATAAAATAGTATTTAATTGGGGTTAAAGCAGAAGTAAAATGTAGGAGGAAAAGAAAGAAAGCATCTTAGGAAAAAAAAAAAATGGTGACGTGGCAGCACCCTCAAAACAAAAGTAATGTTGGGCCCACAAAACTCACTCGCATTTTGACCAAAAAACGGGGTTTTGCCCCTCCATGTTAGAGTCACGTCACTTTCCACGATCTCGCCGAGAGCGTTTTTGACTGCGTTCGGGCAGCGGGCAGCACCGTTCGGGCAGCTTCATTTCCTTTCTCAATCTATCTATTCTACACTCTCACTCCACGCCTCACTCAAAAAAGATAACAATCTTACACTCTCACCAGCTGACAGAGAAAGAGAGAGAAAGATAAATAGTGTCTGTGTTTTCCTTTCCAAGATAGCTAGAGAGAAAGTGAAAAAAAAAAAAAGTTTTTTATTTTTTCATAACGTGCAGAGAAAAAAATAAAAAATGGGGGAAATGTTTTGATTCTTTTTGGTTTTTGAGAGCAGTTTGTTTTGTGTTTTTGGGGTTGAGTTTCTGGGGTAGTCGAAAAGTGGTGTATTTTGGTGAGATCGGGTCGTGGGTGTGGTGTGTGGGATGGTAATGGTGGAGATTTGGCAGCTAGGGTTTGAGGTCATTTGAGTTTGTGGTAGTAGTGGTGGTGGAGGAAGAGTAGTGGGGGTGGTTTTGTGATGTTGTATTGGGGTGTGAAGTTTTGTTTGGATCTAAGGTTATTGGCTACATAGTTTGATGGAGAGGAAGTTTATGGCTTTAGGTTTCATTTGGTGGGTATTGCTGGCTCATCCACTATGCCTGATTTCTGCTAACATGGAAGGTTTGTATGGAATGAAATTATTGTTTGTGTGGCTGATTTATTTATGCCTTGTCAAACAAAACATGAAAGAGGGAACTGTTTTCAAGCTTCTTTTGGTTTTTGTTTGTTGCTTCCTTGATTTTATTGAGTTTGGTGAAGCAGATTCCTTTTCCTTCTTGGATAGGAAGGGGTTTGTGTATTCATGAAGAAGATTCATGTTGTCGTTGGCACTGCTCTCTTTTGATGTTTAATCAATCTTCTTTCCCTTAGCTTGTGAGTTTGTAGAAAGGTTGTTGTACAAGTGACCCTATGGAATCTTTTTAGTCGTTGTTTATTTTTGGTATATAACAAGTCCTCAGAGATTTTTCTCATCTTAATTCTTGTAGTACCTTTTCAAGACAATGCCTTCCGCAATTCAAACCAAGCACTCTTGTATGCGTAGTAACAGTGTCGATCATGTAATGTGTCCGACCTTCATGATTACGTTCACCTCTCTTCTGGTCAATAAATTCTTAGTTGTTATCTATTAGACGGTTTAGAATATAGGCAAAGTGTAGTAATATACCAGGCTGACCAAAATGTACCTGTGTGCGCGAGTCTGGTTGCATTAACTCGCAAACTTTGTATTTTTCAATTTTGTTTTTTGTGTTTGAAAGTGTTTTACTTCAATCAATAAGATATGTTCGGGAAGAGTATTTTTTGTGCGCGCTCGCCTGTGGTGTTGTATTAACCAGTGAATATCTCTGTATTTTCAATATTGTTTTTTGTGCTTGAAGTGTGTTGCTCAATCTACATGATGTGTTTTGAAGTGTATTTTTTATTCACACTTGAGTGCCTGTTGTGTTGGATTAACGAGTGAATTTCTCTGTATTTTTCGATCCTCCTTTTGTACTTGAAGTGTGTTGATCCAACTCCAACCAACCTATATGCTATGTTCTTCAAGTGTAGTTTCTGTGAGCGCATGAGTGCCTGTCATGTTATCAACTAGTGAACTTCTCTGTATTTTCGATCCTGTTTTTGTGCTTGAGGTGCATTCCTCCAACTTCAAACCTACATGCTATCTTGTTGAATTGTATTTTTTTTTTGTTTGCGTTTCATATTTCCATTAACTGGGTAAATTTTTCTGTATTTTTCAAAGTGTAAATTTTGAATTTGCAGGGATGTATGGCTGGTATGTTGCATTAGCTAGTTAACTTCTCTGTAATTTTCAATCCTATTTTCTACAGTTGAAAGTATTTCACCAACATATGCTATGCTCTTGAAATGCATTTTTTCTGCACATGTGTGCATGTTGTGTTGCATTAACTAGTGAACTTGTCTAAATTTTCAATCTGTGTTTTTGTGCTTGAAGTGTATTGCTCCAACCTATATGGTATGTTCTTGAAGTGTATTATTTTGTTTGCATGTGTATCGTGTTGCATTAATTGGCACTTCAAGTGTGTTCTAATCTTACTTTTTTTGTGCATGACGTGTATATGGTATAATATTTTTTTTATCTGCAATTTATAACTGCTTTTATAATGCAACGTTACTACCGATATGATTATTTTTGTGGATTTGATATACATGCTTATTTTGAACTTTAAAGTTCCTGATTGATTGCATGTTCTTGTGTTGTGAAACAGGAGATGCTTTGCATAGTCTGAGGACTAATTTACAGGATCCTAACAATGTTTTGCAAAGTTGGGATCCAACACTAGTCAATCCATGTACATGGTTTCATGTAACATGCAACAATGATAACAGTGTTATAAGAGTGTAAGCTGCTTGTTCCTTGATTTCCATCCCACATATGTTAATTCTGTCTAAATAGTTTATTTTAACTGAGGATGACTTCTCTAATGGTTACTTGTGTCTTTACTTTGCTCTGTTGTCAGTGATCTGGGGAATGCTGCTTTGTCTGGTCAACTTGTTCCGCAGCTTGGTCAGCTCAAGAATTTGCAGTATCTGTATGTTATCACTTGATTTGATGTTCCAATGTTTTTTTATTCTTTCAGCATTGAGTTTCTGTGTGGGCATTGCTAATAATGTGACAACTATTACTTAACTTTCCTTATTTAATCTGGACATGTGATTATAAATGATTTAACGTGACTCTCTTGGCTGTTGAATCTTCAATTGCCAGCTGGATGATCATGTTGTGTGTTGGCATAATATGTGGTTTCTGTTCCTTTTCAGCTGGTTTTACAATTCTTTTAGACTGCTGGACTAGATAACGATACTTATCTGTGTGCTGCTCCATCCTCACATTAAATCATTTGTCTAATCAATGGAATGATTATTCATATGAATATTGTAACGGGGAACATGGTATTCTACTGTTTAAATTCGCAATGCAAGTCAACCAAGTGGATTGAGTTTTTGTGTGTTTGGAAAACATGAGAAAAATGAACTTGTTTTACCTTGCATTTATTTAAGTAACACTAGTCTTTACTGCTTATGTAGATTATGGGGTGCTCCTGAAACTAATTATGGAATTTCCACGAAATATTATAATTTTTTTGTCAGATACTAATTTACTAATATTAATTTAAGTATCTTTATTCTTCTGATCCTTTTTATGTAAAATTTACATAATAGGGAACTTTACAGCAATAACATTACTGGCCCTATCCCAAGTGACCTAGGGAATCTTACTAACTTGGTGAGCTTGGATCTGTACCTGAACCGATTCACTGGCCCAATCCCAGATTCATTGGGCAAGTTGTCGAAATTGCGTTTCCTGTGAGTATACTTGTTCTAGATATGCTGAGGAGATTCTGAATTTTGTTATTACGTAAATAGCCCTATCATTTTTCTGTTGAAGGATAAAAGCTTGTTCTGGTTTCAATCTTGATTATTTTGATATCAGTATATAGATCTTAATTCTTTTCTCCTATTATGGCTAAGGATAGCCGGCTTAACAACAACAGCTTATCAGGTCCTATTCCCATGTCGCTGACTAATATTACTGCTCTCCAAGTTCTGTGAGTACCACTATATCTAAAAATGCGCTAAGTATTTCTCTCTTTATTATTTGTATGCAATGCTCATATTTTCCCCTCAATTTATGTCAAATATAGGGATTTATCTAATAATCATCTGTCAGGAGTGGTTCCCGATAATGGCTCCTTCTCATTATTCACTCCTATCAGGTTTCGTACTTAAATTTGTGTTACTGTCACATTGGTTATGATAAGTAAACTTCTTTCTGAACTTGCTTTCTGTCTCAGTTTTGCAAACAACTTGGATCTATGTGGACCCGTCACTGGGCACCCATGTCCTGGCTCTCCTCCATTTTCTCCTCCTCCTCCTTTTGTCCCTCCACCTCCAATTTCTGCCCCGGGTAATCTTCCTTCTGTTGCAATTGCTCTTTTAGTTATCAAGGTTTTTACCGATCACATGTTGAGGGCTGTTTCAATTTTTTATCATGGGTGCGGCTTATAGTTGCTGACATCATACAGACGTATGTATGTAGATGAATATTTTTAGTTGTGTCATGGGACTGAATTTGTGTTTTTCACTCGTTGTGTTTAAGATATGTTCCAGTTCTCTGTGGAACAGTTTCTAGTATTTTATGTAGGCACGTTGTATGTTTTCCTTTATTGCTGTTGATTGTGATGCCAAGTTTTGAACATTAAATTCTTTATTGACCCATTTGGAAATGAAAATCATTGTTCAGTCATATCTTCTAATATCTTCTAGAGTTGGTTTATGTTTCTATGCTTATGTATGATATTTTCAACATAAAGATAAAAGAAACAATGATGATCCAATCTTCCTCTATATCTAATTTCAGGAGGTAATAGTGCCACTGGAGCAATAGCTGGAGGAGTTGCTGCTGGTGCTGCTCTATTATTTGCTGCACCTGCAATTGCATTTGCATGGTGGCGTAGAAGGAAACCACAAGAGTTTTTCTTTGATGTTCCTGGTGAGCAGTACTTGAATGATGGCTATAACAGTTTTTGAACTTGTTTAAAGAATTTAATTTGACTTGATTGTGTATGTTTGCAGCTGAAGAGGATCCTGAAGTTCATCTCGGACAGCTTAAAAGGTTTTCTCTACGAGAACTGCAAGTTGCAACAGATACTTTTAGCAATAAGAACATTCTTGGGAGGGGAGGATTTGGTAAGGTGTACAAAGGACGGTTGGCAGATGGTTCATTGGTGGCTGTGAAACGGTTGAAAGAGGAACGCACACCTGGTGGGGAGCTTCAGTTTCAGACTGAAGTAGAGATGATTAGCATGGCTGTGCATAGAAATCTCCTCCGACTACGAGGGTTTTGTATGACACCAACAGAAAGGTTACTTGTTTATCCCTACATGGCTAACGGAAGTGTGGCCTCATGCTTAAGAGGTAGATCTTCTGTTTCATTCTTTTTAGCTGTTCAAGTCCTTTTGACTATCTTATTTCTTTTCTTCCTTTCTTTGCCCCTCTCCCCCTCCCCATCCTGTATGGCAGGGTTCTCATTGTCGTATTTACCATTTCTCCCACAGTTCTACTTTAGTTTAAGCTTATGACGGTATTATAGTTGTTGGCTGCTCAAGCTATGGCATGTTCTTTGAGAATGATGAAAATATGGAACAACCTATGCAGTTTTACAACCGTAGTTGGTTAAATATACATTCATCACCTGTGGTTTATACAGGAACATACAGCTCCCATTAAGTCTAAATCCTTAACTGTTTTTAGGTCTTAACTCATAGTGTCACTTACCCTTTTAGAGCCTGGATTTTGGCCATCTTTATGTTTAATCAGGTGTAACTGTCATTAACTCTACTATTAAATTTTAAATTTGTTATACTTCAGCTTGAAAAAAGATTATCAAGTTTATTATTTTGGTGAGTGCTCAAAGCAAAAAGCGATTATAGAGTAAAGATATAAGAAACTAGGCTGTTATACGGAAATTGTAGTTTAGCTTGATAGTCAAACTAGAAGAAACCCCAAGGTGTGCTTACAGTAAATATTATTGGCCCACCCATACTGGTTATCTTCTCAATCATACGATGTTTCTTATAATTTTGTTATTTCTTTATTTTAGAGCGTCCTCCACATCAAGAACCCCTGGATTGGCCAACTAGGAAAAGAATAGCTTTGGGATCTGCGAGGGGTCTTTCATATTTGCATGATCATTGTGACCCAAAGATTATTCATCGTGATGTGAAAGCTGCTAACATATTGCTGGATGAAGAGTTTGAGGCTGTTGTTGGGGACTTTGGATTGGCCAAACTCATGGATTACAAGGACACCCATGTGACAACTGCTGTACGGGGCACTATTGGGCACATAGCTCCCGAGTACCTATCCACTGGTAAATCATCAGAGAAAACCGATGTTTTTGGTTATGGTATCATGCTTCTGGAGCTAATCACTGGACAGAGAGCTTTTGACCTCGCCCGGCTTGCAAATGATGATGATGTTATGCTGCTTGATTGGGTATGTTTAGTGTAAAAGTATATCTTGTTTTTGGTATAGTTTATCATGCAGTTAATTTCATGCAATTCCTGGATAGCCGCAGTACCAATTTTTGTATTGTGTCCATCTCTAATGCACATAGAATATGTGTATTGCGAATGATATATATCTGACATGTAAATATGACCATTTCCTAATATAGTGTAAGTTCAAGATGCACTGCAGTATATAAAATTTATAAAACAATAAATATATAATATTGCATATCCAAACTAAGCACTATTCTTCTTCCTCTAAGCATGATTTAGAATATTGACATTTCTTTATTAAGTATACAATTATATTTTGGTTTATGTTGCTTATTTTTAGTAGTTGAGCATTATCTGCTGATGTGTTTTCCAAAACAAGCTTTCTCCTTTTTTGAAGTTCCCTTTTCAGTATAGTAATATATGTCCAAATCTAATAGAGGTGAATTTTTTCACAGGTAAAAGGTCTTCTGAAGGAGAAAAAGCTTGAAATGTTGGTTGATCCTGATCTACAAAACAATTACATAGAAGCTGAGGTAGAACAGTTAATCCAGGTTGCACTGCTTTGCACACAAGGTTCCCCTATGGACAGACCTAAGATGTCGGAAGTGGTGAGAATGCTTGAAGGTGATGGCTTGGCAGAAAGATGGGATGAGTGGCAAAAGGTGGAAGTTCTCCGGCAGGAGGTGGAGCTGGCCCCTCATCCCAATTCTGACTGGATCGTTGACTCGACCGAAAATCTGCATGCAGTCGAGTTATCTGGTCCAAGGTGACCTGGCACAGTAGTAAATTAAGAAGAAAAAAAAAAGAAGAAAAGAAAAGAATGGATTTATTTATGACTTATTTTTTAACTATAAAAGTTTTCTTACCTTTTTTCTTTTTGGTTCCTTCAAGTGCTATATCCTTCTGATTACATCTCCTGTAAGTCCGCTGCATCATTATATTCATTTACATTTGTGCATAGGGATCGCTTTGTCAAGTTGCAATTTGTATCATCTGCTGCATTTGATGAAGTGATGTTTACTTAGATCAAACAATCACAACTTAATCTTTTTGTACACCCTTCTTTCACACTCCTTCAATCTATACTTTATACCTATCTCATCTTATGCAATGTTTTGTATGATAGCACTAATAACCCTAAATCAGTTTTTCCTAAAAATCGTTAAATATGGATTTTATCCACTTAATTACCCAATCATGGTTCATGCTTCTGGATTTTCTACTATGAATAAATTTTTATGATTTGTTTGATGCAACTGCTTCATAAATTCTTCATTTATACAATACTGTGACCATATTATCCAACAAGGAATATTAGAGGTTCACAATTTAAGTGCCAGCGGTTGAGAAACATACTATCACCAAAAACATCCTAAAATATTTCTTTCCTGAATAAACAATTTATTTTTTTGTCTAGGTCACAATTCACACAATAATGCTACTAGAAATTAAAATCTTCCTACAAATGACATATACAACCTCATAATTTCCCCTCCTATATTTACTTAATTTCTTTCAAATAATATTTCTTTAGTTTAGTGAATTTGATTTCACATGTTTAATAAGCGATTTAATTTAAATTCTGTCTGACCATATAAAAATTAAAAGGAATAAATTTATTTGTTTTTATTCAAATAATTTATTTTCTTTACTTCTTCCTAAATTTCAAAAGTCTTATTTCTTATCAAGTTTTATCTATAAACATCGAATGCCACCAAAAGTAAAAGCAAAACATGTAAGATGATATATTAGAGTGAAATTTATGTATGTATTAATTATTATCTTTTATAAAATGTTACATCTCATCTATCTATTGAATTATACTTTTTTAAAACACACTTTCTTTAGATTGAAAGTTCCTTTCACCCAAATCATATATACAAAATTTATATTAATATAAAATTATTTGATGTTCAATTATATAAATCGAAGTCAACATAAAATATATTATTTATATAAAATAATTAACTGTTTTCATAAAAGTTTAATATTATTTATGTCCTATCATAAATCACTAAGCTCATATAATTCATGATTTTTGTTTCAACCTTTACTAAGTGTTGGATGGATATACGGGAATACAAAGTAAGATCAAGCATTAGTATATACTACTTATTTGCAAAAATAATTTTAAGTCACTCAGAAACCTATTTGATATCGAATAAGAGAGGAGCAATGAAATCTTTTTTATATAAATATAACATGATATTATATTATAAAAAGAGAAATACAAAAGACCAATGCATGTTAATTTGGTGTTTAAAAAAATAAGGTGTCAAAGAAGTCATTACTTTATCTATTATCAATATCATGCTGAGATTTTCTTTCAATAAAAAAATGCTGTGATATTTATAGGTGCATGTATGACATGCTAAAGTCAATGAACAACACATAAAAATGACAGCATACATGGGTACACCGTGTGAGATCCAATCTTGTCCATTCAACATGCACGTGTCTTAAGACTAATAATTACATAAAAAAGACACCACGACTGTAGTGAAGTTGAATGCAAAGACAAAAATCAGAAAGATGGACTCAGTTCCGTTCAATAACTCACACAGTTTATTGTAAGTAAATGCCATCCCATAGGACCATAACTACAAGCCTTAGCTTTGTGCTTATCACATTCAACAAAGTTATACTCCAAACAAATTTTTTATTCAACTGGGTAGAGCATGTCCTATGGTGGAGATGCAAATTTTCATCCAAGTCCTTACCATATTCACACTAAAATCGGTAAAGCAGGTAGTGCATGAACCAAACTCCTAGCATAAAGAGCAGAATCAAATGACAAAGGAAACTTACTTAGATTAAAAGTTTGCGTGAAGAACAGAGAGAAACAAACTGCGGTTGTTGTTTTCAGAAGGTGTTTCATTTTGGTACCCTTGAATCTAATAGCTGCCCTGCCATTTTTAGGCACTGCACTCTATTTAAAAGTGGAGGGTCAATGGAATCGTATTTAATGGGTCCTTGTGTTCATGTGTCATTGTGGAAAGAAAGAAAAGGTAATGAAGGGGAGGAATGTAGAGCATAGTTCCCACTTCACTTGAGAATAGCTGTGTTTGTGGTGTTAAAAAAGGGAACACCAACCCTACTCGAGTCTGCCCTTGAAGCCATATACTAGTGCTTAGACTCTTGGCTGGCATAGATTAATGCATCAATTGTTAGTTCCGGAAATACACAATGTAGTCACCTGACAATGACTTGGTGTAACTGCTATCATCAGCACAACGACCATGAGCTTTTGTTGGGAAATGGAAGCATTTACCAATCTGAGAAGGCCAACTTGCCTTGGTCTGCATTTAACTTGAATGTTTCTGAAAATTAAAGATTACTTTGTGTTAGAGTGAAAATGATTGTAATTAACGTGTCAAATCCAACCAAATAAATTGAAGCCACAACAATAAAGATTGTGAAGTGTGATTTTGATCAAGGGAGATATAGACCACCCGGTTGACCATTTAAAGTGATAGCATCAGCATTAGTTGGTGACCCTACAATTTATGAAATTTTCTGCACACCTTCTTGACATTCTTCTTCCACCATTCTCCTACATACAGATAAATAAAACTTGTGTTAATTTCCAGTCTTTAAAATGCCATGTACTATTTGATTATTTAAGGAGACAGGGCAACTGTAAAGGCTTTCATACCCAATATGATTGATACATCTGCATCAGGTTAGGGAAAAGGGTAGGGACTATACTTTCCTGGGTAGACAATTATTGCCCCATGTACAGTGACTATTGACCAGCCACTATAAGCATGCCACCATAAAGTCCCTGCCTCAGTTGCAAAAGGAAATCTTCTGCTTTTCCCTCTAGCTTTGACGGGGCACTCATGAACACATCTCATTAATGTTTTTATTAATATAATTTATAAATGTTTAATATATTTTCTTAATTAATTATTAATAATTAATATAGTTACGTAAAAATGAAATAAAAATATATTAATATAAATTATTACTTAAATTATATATTTTTACTAATTATTATTTTTTTTGTAGGATTTTAAAATTAGCGGATGGAAAACTGTTGAACCGATGAATCATATATCAAGTTTAAAAATGTTATATTAAGTTCTATTTTCACTACAAAAAAAGCCTATTACCTACGGATAAAAATCCGTTGGTAAATTTTACATTACATACTGAATTCTATTCGTAGGTAATTATCCATTACAGGTAATGTAATCCGTGGATAATTACGTAGGCAAATTATATTAAGCAAGAATCGAACCCAAGTACCTTAAAATTGAAAACTGATACTCCAACCACTAAACTATTAGGATATTCTAATAATAATTTACAACTAAATTATACTTATATTTATTCATGTAAATATATAAATATATAAATATATAAATATATAAATATATAAATATATAAATATATAAATATATAAATATATAAATATATAAATAGATAAATACATAAATATATAAATACATAAATATATAAATATAAATATATAAATATAAATATATAAATATAAATATATAAATATAAATATATAAATATAAATATATAAATATAAATATATAAATACAAATATATAAATATATCAAAATATAAATATATTTTATATTTATATATATTTTATATTTATATATTTTTTTTATATTTATATATATTTTATATTTATATATTTTTTTATATTTATATATTTACACGGATAAATATAAATATAATTTATTTGTAAATTATTATCAAAATATCCTAATAGCTTAGTGGTTGGAGTATCGCCCTCCAACTCGAGGTATTGGGTTCGAATCCTGCCAATGACAATTCCCTTAATCTAATAATAATTCAAAGTTCCAAAAATATAATATAAAGGGGAGGGGGGTCCTAGGTTGTAATAAATAAAAATATTTTGTTTAGGTGGGTGCATTACCTACGGATTATAATCCGTAGGTAAAGTGATATTACCTACGGATTTTACCCGTAGATAATAAACATTTTTTTTGTAGTGTTTGTATATATGGGTCTAGAATGAGTCTTGAAAGCTTCGTATATCTTTGTTTTTGTATAAATAGACTTTTTAAGGTGTAGAAACATAAGTTAAGTTTAAAGTATAATTCATTCATAAGGTTATTTCTAATTTAGTTCTTAGTTTTCAATAGAGATGTTTAACTTACAAATTTGTTCATGGAGTTTCTTGTATGAATAATAAAATGAAGTTTATTAATTCAAGTTCCCTTTGATCATATTTGTTTCTTTTTCTTTTAATTCTTTGTTTTCACTTTGTTTCATCTTCTTCTTCATTTTCCATTTATTCCTTTACAATTTCTGTATTTTTCAATTGACCACAATGTTCTAATTCGTTTTTGTTGTTGATTCATCGATTAAAACTTGTTTTCTAAGATTTAGATTTGATTATCATTGATTCTAACAGATTATAATCCATTATAAACACTGTGAATGAGGTTATTTGATTGAATGTCTCTTTTATATCACAATTCAACTTTTTGATATAAGTGATTGCTTGATTTAGGAATTGAGTTGTGAATTTGAATTTCAATTCGATTGTAATAATTGAGTTGTGATAGTAATACAATTTTATAAAAATTAATGACAATCATAAAAACAAGTTTATGAATAGAGAATCAACACAATTTCTTCAATGTTTTTCATCAACTTTTATTTTGATTTTGTTTTACTTCTAAACTTAGTTTACATTGTTCCTTAGCATTTAAAAATTACTTAAATTAGATTTAAAATGTTTTCAATTATTGTTTTCCTTTAATGTTCTTTTTTAATGTTTTCTTAATTGCTTTCATAAAATAAGTTTATTGTTTTCAATTTCCAAAATCACAAAAAAACCCCTTTTTTCTGGCTTTTGATTTAGAAAATCAAGATTTAAAACAAAATCAAACAATTCTCTTTGGATTCGACTTAGACCAAGTTCTAATATTGTATTATTTTAAACAAATTGTTTGATGAAATCTAAACGACTGCATCAATTAAGCACTGAGTGATTAGTTAAATGCCATTTGGCCATGGACTGATTAGCTGCTTCACTCCATCCCAGCCAGCATCTTAGAAACAGTGAAGCACTAGAATTATTTTCTCTGATTTTATTCTCTAAAAGAAAACAAAAGTCATGAGACTATGAAATAAATAGCACTGTAAAATATTGTTGTTTCTGGCCTTGTTATAAACAGTGACATGGACAGTGTCACTTTTGTGTGCAGTTATAATTGGCCCGGGAAATTTTCCATTTACAGTTAAAATGCTTGTGCTGTGGCATAGCCTTCTATATTTCACTTCTTGTACCTAAAGATTATATGCTTTGCATGCTGTCATTGCTAAATTCACAAATAAAAAACATAAAGCATACAGCTACATTTAAAGAACACAGCAATTCAACTAATAACAAAAAATTGGAGACAAAGGAATCATGCAGTATGCGGCCTCATGCTACAAAAGGTAGGGAAAGTAAATGTAATTTAAATTTTTTGTCATCATTACTATTAGGCTCGGAACTGAGCAGAGATGTTGTAAGAAAACATCGGATATTGTTTGGCTTACAACAAGTTTGTAGTGATCGATAGTTTTGGAATAAAGATAAACAAAAAAATGAACCATAAAATCTGAAGGAAGATATTTTCTTGCCAAACCACATTTTATGAAAAGAAACGTGCAACTCCCGCGTTACTGCTGCGTGTTCAGACATATAAAAAGCTTTGTGGAAGCATTTATAGAGGATTTGCAAAATATAAGAAGATCTTTAGTTGGTTCAAGTTGAGGTGCATTCTCAAACATGGCGCTTTCTATATCTTCCTCTGTTTAAACATTAAAAGTGAGAAAGTTGTGTTTTTTTTTTTCTTGCCTGCCAGAATGTATTAAATACTATTTTTTAGTTACATCACACCGAATTGAATCTTTATTCAATAGCAGTATAGCTAGATTTCATAATTATTTCGAAGCACAAATGAAGCAAAAGTTTTAAACTCCGATATAGCATGCTGTCCTTCGTTAAGAAGTCGCCGTTCTCTTCATTCAAGTCTAACAAATAACAAATAGCAAGCAAAAACTAGAATGAAAGAAGTATACTATTAGTTTAATGGAAGAGAGTCTTCCGTACAACATATACATAAAATGGAAACTTGACTTGTTCTACATGCATTGCCATTTTAGCTATATAACATGTACTATGTTGTTATGTAGCCTATAACACTTTCCAACCTCAAAGATACTACTTGCTGAATATCAGTAATATAGCCATTAATGGTCCCTTATATCTTTACTACGGATACGTATTCCAGTTACAGCGTACTGCAAACGTTAAATTTAACAAAGAAATTAACTATGCTATTACTTCACACTACAATCTGCAACAAGGTTTTACAATAATCACATATGATAGTTTAGACCACCATTATTTTGCATGGGAAAGCACAGATCTGCTGCTTTTTGTGAAACATGGAATTGACTACATTTTGTTTTAAATATATACAACATTAAATTCTACATTCATTACAAGGATAGCCACAATTTACCACAAAGTATTTCAGCATGAACAAGATGCTCTTGGTATAGCAACTAAATACGGCAAAGCCAGCCACAGTACGTGTTTAACTCGACCAGTAATCCATATAATTTATGCAGCAGTATAATGCTCACTCCTCAGCAACTTGAAAGTCATAAGGAAAAATATGTAGTAGTATTAGAATTGGTTGCACAATCATGACTGGGATGCTTATTATCTGAATGTATGAGATCCAATATTTGAGTTTTGTGAGGTGAATAAGTTGGGGTAAGAGAAACTCGAGTAATTATCCGCTGAAAACGATCTGTTAAGCTGATGATGAGGGGATTTGTCATCCAGTACGGATTGATTGTGTAGGGAAGAACCAAAGCCTTCCTTGGACGTATCAAATGAAGGAAAACTGGATGAATGAGAGTTTGAGAAGGCATGCTCATGTTCCACATCATTTATGCTACCAGCATCATAGTCAATTGCAGTATTTCGTTCAGTGAAATGTCCCTTTTCTGTTTCAGATTTATTAGCAACACTTGCATAGAATGGATTCTCAAACCTGTTATCTTGCATGTGTGCACTATTTTTCTTCGTAAGCTTACTACTAGGGACTCCGGCAGTTTCAGTAGCATCCAACGCATCTTGTGAGTCTAGATTGACTTCAATTTTTGTCCTAGACAAGTAGGAAGTTGGCATGAAAGACATAACCTGTTTACTTTCCTTTTTACTGAATGAAGTATGGGGTTTATCTTTGTTTGATCCAAGTGATCCAATTTGGCTTGAGGAGTGAAGATCAACTTCACTGTGGTTTTCTTCAGGAAGAGGCAGTTTTGCCTCACATTGACTGCAAAATTGAATGGAGCCATTCTGACGAGGGGATAACATGTTAACATAATGAATTGTGAAAAAGAAGCACCAAATTAACAATACCATAGTCATCTTAATCGTAAATAGTAATACTATTATGGTATACTTACCAGTAAATCCTCATGCTTTTTAAAGAACTTGGTTTCTGAAGCAGTTGGATCCCAGTCTAACTTATGCTCAACAGCAATTTCTTTTAGAAGGTTCAGTTTCTTTTCCTGTGAAGGTGCTTGAACTGACAAAAGCTCTATTAACTGCTATTGCAATTCACGTGGAGCATAATGTCATTGAAGAAAATAGCTCAACTTGTAAAAATGGACTCTAGTGTATAAGATAGAAGGACAAAATCAAGTAAAATTTACACCCTTGCCATCAAGTTTCTAATCAAATGGTCACACATGGATGTTCTTTTCAAGAATGAATAGCTTCCATTATATATGCGTTGTAAAATTTTAAATAAGCATGTACATGTTATTATTTTACTTTACAGCTTGATGAAAAGAATATATGGGTAACTTGATTGTAAGTTTTTTCCAAGGTAAAAATTCATGGAACCTGGCGATTAACACTGCAGTCAGGGGTGAGTTCAGTTGCTGCAGATACAAAATCCTTTCCATATTTGGAGCCAAATAGTGATTGAACTTGCAACAACTCTGGCAGATCACTGCACCTTGGTGCAGCAAAACATACGCTAGATATTGCTTCCTTCAAGTCAAGGGGACATTCCCTGAACAACATTGAGAACTCAGATGTTTAACTGGAAAACAATTACACTGGTCAAATCAAATTTTTAAACCATAATGTGCGTCCTCAGCCAGACTAGAGTGTTAGCTGATGATTTTCTTACATTTGTTCAAATCTTTTGCTCATTGTGCTTATCATGTACGAAAGTAAATGCAAGTGTTTTTAAATCTCGGATGTAAATATAATATTTCAAGAGCTCTTCACAGCAGCTCCTCTGTACAACAATCAAATTGAAAACCAAGTTGATCGATCATTCATGTACATCGTTCTTCCTCTTACGAATATCAAACACTGCCATTTCAAACAGAGGCTTTTATATTGGAATATTGACTTTTGTCAATGCATGAGCATGTTGTGTGATTATTGCTTTGCGGCAAACCTTTGTGATTGAATCATTGGAAGGCGTGCAACAATAAGTTCACAAAAGAGTTGAATGATATCTTGAGCAGCCACCATGTTCCCCTCTCTCATAACGTGCACGACCTAATATCACCATCATCATGAGCAACACCACCATGGGGAACAGTGTTGAAAATCCTGAAGCAGACACATTAAACAATATACATCAAGTGGAAGTGAGGGGTATCAATGATACCTTAACACCAGCCTTGGCTTCTTGACCAGCCTCAAGTAACATAGCAATGTCATTTCGCATCTGCTTCAGCTGAACCTCTCTTCTGTTTCTCAGCAACTTTATTCGCGGAATTGTGAGCTTCAGCAAGGTTGCACTGAAATTGAAATCAACAAATCACTCAAAGATAAACAAAAATAAAAAATGTTGAGCAGATGAAGGAGACATTCAGCAAGTACCATTTGGAGGCTTTAAAGGCTTTGTTGAAGAAGCAATGAAGCTTTGGCATGTTGAGAATGAATCTGTGTGGATAGATAATTGCAGAGAGCTTAGAATAATGAAAATAGAATGGGAGTTCATTGAAGATGATACCCTTGCTTAACACAAGAAACCATAATATAGGTGACGCGTAGTATTCAGATTCATTAAACACATCCACATCTTCACCTTCTTCTGTTCCTACATCTTATTCTCAGTATATATATTTTAATGATTTAATGTTAGTCGTTGAAATTATTGAGTGTATTAAAGTTATGAATCATTATTCAAATGTCTCAATTGTTTAAATAATTTTATTAATTGGTGCCCATAACGATAATATGAACTGCAAGACGTTTTTCAAAGTTAAAATTAAGTAAAACATACTTAAAATCATCAATATATATATATATATATATATATATATATATATATATATATATATATATATATATATATATATATATATATATATATATATATGTATGTATGTATAAAAGTTGAATAGCTTAACAAATTTATTTATTGAAAATGATATGTTAGGCAATATTGATGATTTTATCCGGAGAAATCATTTTCTTGATGATTTGTGTTTTGTAGGTGATGAACGATACATCCATAAAGATTATCAAAAAAATATAATAGCTTATTTTTGAAAGATTTGTTGACGTAAAAAAAATATTATTTTTATTAAAATTACATGTTCATTTCTTTATATAATATATATTTAAATTTTGTAATAAGAGGCTTTACATATTGTATCTCCAGCTTCCACAAAAATTCCAGGACAGCCCTGTCTCACCCACGTAGCATCGCAAACGAAAGGAACCCAAACCTAACCCACGTGACCACGACCTCCGCAGACCACCGCACGCCCTCTGCGACGCGACACTCCTCCACGCCGCGACAGCCTCCCCTCCTCCCGGTGGCAGACTCTGTGGTGTTTTTTGTGTTAAGTGGGTGGGCCCGATTAGCCCAGGGTCGGGCTAGATATGAACATTTTATGCGGACCGGGTCGGGTCAGTATATTAAGAAGGTGGGCTGAGTCAAACGGACCAGGGTGCCCGTTTTGACTGCCCTAGGCCTAACTTCATAACCCGTTTTCAAGTCTTCCACGCTTAGCACCCTCCATTGTCGCTGCAGAAGAGAGAAGCAGAAGTGGGAGAAGCAAGTAACAGCACCCAAACCACAAGTGAAGTCCTCACCTAACATTCACTCCTCTTCATTCCCTTTTTCTTCCTGTAATTTCTCTTGCCTTTTTGCTCTGTTCCAAATTCATTTATTCTTCATAAGTTGCATATTATCTCATTATTCTAAGTTATAAAATTCACCTTTTGCTTGTGACTTTTATGGTGTATTCATATTAATCGTCCGTGATTATTGTCTTTATTATTCATGACTATAAACTTTAAAGGTACTTTGGCAATTCATTTTGATTGGATAAAGAAAGAAGCTATATGATAATGATTAATTTCTCGCAGGTTTAGAGTATTGAAAATATTTCATTGACAATTGAGCAAGCACAATGAGTTATCGATCGCTTCATGATGATGAAGACGGTAACGAACAAGTTTTTCTTGATGAGGCTGACATCATCGATGAAGTTGACGTGGATAATGAAGATCTTCCTGATGCTGATGATGATTCTGAACTCGGTATGAACTTGCTGTAAAACCTTCTGAGCCTTACTTTAAATTTCATTAGGTGTCTTGTGTATGATTTCTCTATTATATAAAAACTGTCAACTGTTATTTTATATGCTGTACCTTAATTGTGTTAGACTTGAGATGTATTGTTTGTCTATGTGATAATTTATTTGATAATGGTATTCTTTTAAACCATTTCAGAGGACGAGGATGGTGATTTTGTGCACAAATTCACTGCTCATACTGGTAAGTTTTGTACTTTTTGTTTGTTTTTCTGCATAGCTATCCTGATTCTGCCGAGCCTTTAAATTGATTGAGATCAAATTCTGGATTCTAAGTAGCCAGGTATTCCCCAATGGTTTTATTGCAATATTATTTTTTTTCCTTTTTTTCAATTGTATTGTATGTAACTTGTAAGCAAGGTGTTACCAGGGAATTGATGATATTTTCTCTTGAATTCTTGCATAGGGGAATTGTACACAATTGCCTGTAGCCCAACAGATGCGGCCCTAGTGGCTACTGGGGGTGGTGATGACCGAGGATTTCTCTGGAAGATTGGCCAAGGAGATTGGGCTTTTGAGCTTCAAGGTATTTGCATGACACTAGGGTTACTGATGGTTGATATTTTTCCGTGTAGGACTAGAGTTATTGGACAAATTGGCAAAGTCAAGATATGTTACTTGCAATTTATTGAATATCCAAATGGTTTCGCCATAATTAATTTTGTGCAGGTCATGAAGAATCTGTATCTAGTTTAGCTTTTAGCTATGATGGACAGCGTTTGGCATCAGGAAGCTTAGATGGAATTATTAAAGTCTGGGATGTATCAGGAAATTTGGAAGGGAAAAACCTTGAAGGTCCTGGAGGGGGCATTGAGGTGAGATTATTAGTGAAAACAAAGTGTTATTTTTGTAGTTATTAATAAAAGAAATATCAACTGAAAATTGGAAAAAAAAAAAAAAAACTTACTTTTCTTGCTTTTCTGTTGTACATAGTTACTAAGTTGGATGTCATGAAATTTTTTAGTGGCTTAGGTGGCATCCAAGAGGACACATACTCTTAGCTGGTTCTGAGGATTTCACCATTTGGATGTGGAATACTGATAATTCTGCCCTACTTAATACATTTATTGGTCATGGTGATAGTGTAACATGTGGTGATTTTACTCCTGATGGTAATATTTTTCTTTGTCTTGGTGCATTTTTTGTTAAATGTCGTTATTTGTGCCATAAATTTTTACACTCTTCCATTTCTTTTTACTTTATACCTTAGGGAAAATAATATGTACTGGATCTAATGATGCGACCTTGAGAGTATGGAATCCAAAAAGTGGAGAAAGCACTCATGTTGTGCGGGGTATGTAAATTGCTTTTTATGTGTGTATTTATTGTGTTTGCTTTCTATTCTGCAGTAATACATTTTGTCAATTAATCATGTCTGCCATCTAAATATAGTCTGTGGTATTACAACCCACCTTAGTTATTTTATTTTTCAAAACATATTCTTGAATATTCCACTAGAAAAAGAAAAAAAGGATAGGATGCAGTTTGAGCAATCTTTAAAATCAATTAAAAGCAACTTCATATGTATCTTTCGTCTTTTTTTTTTTTTCATTATATAAAGTAGGGATACCATTCATGTACGTCATGTCATTATGGTTTCACAAAAAATTTAATAATGTTCCTTTCTATTTACTTTTGATAACCTTCCAGAGTTTGCTTTCTAGGCCATCCATATCATACTGAGGGATTAACATGCTTGACGATAAATTCAACTTCAACACTTGCACTTTCTGGTTCTAAGGATGGATCTGTCCATATTGTGAATATCACCACAGGAAGAGTACGTGTATTCATTGCATTTGATACTCACAGTGCTATTTTTCTATTTGTCTTATCTAGTGTCTTTGCCTTTGGGTATAATGTCTACTAGACTCTTTAAAATGTTTCTAAAATTCGTGTCATGTGACTTCAAGTTTTATATCTTTCTAAAATGTCTTGTGACAACAGTTGCTTAAAAGAAAATTGAGGTTAAAATCATTTAATCAACTGATTGATTTTAAAAATCGTGACATTTATTCAAAGAAAAATAGCCTCCAAATGTCGGTTGCAATAATTTGAGTGAAGTACAATTTTTTGTTGGATTGCTGCTGTCTTGCGATTTCCTCTTTCCTATCAAGGGCTAAAAGGAACAAGCATGGGAACATGTATGGGAATCAGATCATAGAGCGTTTAGCAAAACTAGTTTCAGACTATATATTACCTTTGTTGCAATATAAATTTCACAATTGCAAGAGTAGTCTGAACTAATTGGAAGCCAGCTGTCATCTTTTCTCAAATATTGGGTCAAGATTGGTATATTTTTGTCATGCTCAAATATACACAGATAAGATTACGTGGTGGATTCGCAGTTTGTAACCTAGCTAGACTATGAGCTTGAGGAGTTCTTTGACTTTACTCTTGTGATTTATGAAAGAGCACAAATTTTCAAAGAATTGTCTTTCCATAGTGTAGCCTATGGAGCTGTTTTATGACTGCATATTTTAGCACGTTCATCACTTATGCTTTGTGTTGAATACAGGGAAAAACTGTATAGGGTTAATTTCCCTTATGTATTTACCACACATAGGGCAGTGTATTTATAATAAAGAAAGGTACTCCTCAAAAGAGTAACAGAATACAAATAGAGTAAATAAAAAGATATTATTTGATATTGTGATTAACAATATCTAACAATATCTCAACAATATCAAACAATATCAACTAATATCTAATCATATCTAACACTCCCCCTCAAGCTGGAGCATACAAATCGTATGTGCCTAGCTTGGTACAAAGATAATCCATCCTAGGTCCCCGTAAAGACTTAGTGAAAATATCTGCTAATTGATCACATGAGCTAACGAACTCGGTCTTGATGTCTCCGGACTTAATCTTTTTCCGAATAAAATGACAAGTCAATCTCAATGTGTTTAGTCCTCTCATGAAAGACAGGATTAGAGCTTATATGGAGAGCGACTGATTGTCACACACTAGTGTCATTTGAGTGACATCTCCAAATTGTAGCTCTTTAAGCAATTGCTTGAGCCAAATAAGTTCACGAGTAGCCGAGGCCATAGCTCTATACTCGCTTCGCACCTGGATCTTGCCACAACACTTTGTTTCTTACTTTTCCATGAGATCAAGTTACCACCAATGGAAACACAATACCCGGATGTAGATCTTCTATCCGAGGGAGATCCCGCCCAATCGACATCCGAATAGCGAGACAACTCTTGTATGATTATGGGAGTCATACACCAAACCTTTTCCAGGAGACTTTTTGATGTACTTCAATATACGGATGACTGCATTCCAATGATCTTGACAAGGAGAATTGAGGAATTGACTCACCACACTGACTCGCAAAGGAAATGTCGTGGCGAGTAACTCGTAAGATAATTTAATTTTCCAACTAATTTTCTATACCTGTTCAGGATCCGACATTGGCTCCCCCGATTTGGCAAGAGTTTGGTATTAGGATCCATGGGTGTGTCAACAGGCTTTGAATTCATCAACCCAGCTTCCTCCAAAATATCCAATGCATACTTTCTTTGAGATATAACAATGTCATCGGTAGATTGTGCTACCTCAATACCCAAGAAATATCCGAGTTTGCCAAGATCTTTGGTTTGAAAATGGTGGCAAAGGTGTTGTTTCATCCGAGAGATGCCATGATGGTCACTACCTGTAAGAACAATGTCATCGACATACACTATCAAATAGATACATCCAGACATTCGAGTGACGGTAAAAGACCGAGTGGTCTCGCCTCACTTCTAGTCATGCCAAATTGTTGAACAACGTCGCTAAATTTTCCAAACCAGGCCCTAGGAGACTGTTTTAGGCCATATAAAGATTTGCGAAGACGACATACCAATCCAGAAGACTCCCCCGAGCAACAAATCCGGAGGTTGCTCCATATAAATCTCTTCTTGCAAATCGCCATTCAAGAAAGCATTTTTGACATCCAGTTGATAAAGAGGCCATTATTGAATAGCGACCATGGCAATGAATAAACGAACGAAGCCATCTTTGCCACTTGGAGAGAAAGTATCACCATGATCCAACCCAAAAATTTGGGTATAGCCTTTGGCTACAAGGCGAGCTTTGAGGCGATCAATAGTACCATCGGGACCAACCTTGATAGCGAAGACCCACCCGCAACCAACAACAGATTTTCCGGATGGTAATGGGACAAGCGTCCGGGTTCCACTAGTCCGAAGAGCACCGAGTTCATCTAGCATGGCCTGACGCCAACCAGGGTGGGCTAAGGCTTCAAAGACAGATTTAGGAATAGACACGGAAGAAATAGACGAGAGACAGGTATAAAATGGTGAAGAAATTCGATGATAACTTAAAGCAGTATAATGTGGAGAAGGATTACGAGTAGAATGCGTACCTTTACGAAGGGCAATAGGAAGGTCGGACTACGTGGACTGGAACCGGAGGAGGCGAGTATTTGGCACCGGGAGTGAGTCATGTGGCGTCTGTTGTGGGCGAGGTATGCGACTATAAACCTGAAGGGGTGGTGGAGGAGGAGGGGCTAATGGTGGATGGTCATCAACATAAGGATCAATGAGAACATGAATGGGAACTGTAGCAGATGGAGACTCAGCAGGTAGGGAAGGGTCCTTAAAGTAAAAGGAAAACTCATTGAAGGTGACATCGGCAGACACAAAATAGCGATTAAGAGAAGGAGAAAAACACTTGTATCCTTTTTGGGATCGAGTAAATCCTAAGAAAACACATTTGTGTGATCGAGGAGATAACTTATCATGACCAGGATCAAAATTGTGGACAAAACAGGTAGACCCAAAAACCTTCAGAGGTAAAGGATGGAGAGTGTCATGAGGAAATAAAATAGAATGGGGAATTTTGTTATCTAAAACCGAAGAGGGCATACGATTAATAAGATAACAGGCAGTAAGAACAGCATCACCCCAAAAATGTTGAGGAACCTCACCATGAATTAAAAGAGTACGGGTTGTTTCAATAAGGTGTCTATTCTTGCGCTCAGCCACCCCATTTTGTTGAGGGGTATAAGCACAGGAAGTTTGATGAAGAATGCCATGAGAAGCCATAAATTGTTTAAACGAGTTTGAAAGATATTCACGACCATTATCACTTCGAAAAGTTTGAATAGAGACACCAAATTGATTTTTAATTTCATGATAAAAGTTTTGGAATATAGAAAACAACTCAGAATGATTTTTCATTAAAAATAACCAAGTACAACGAGAGAAATCATCAATAAAAGTAACAAAATATTGAAAACCTAAATTAGACTTAACACGACTCGGGTCCCCAAATGTCGAGTGAACTAAGGCAAAGGGGGATGAAGCACGCTGGGAAACACTACGAGAAAAGGAAGTACGACTATGTTTGCCTAACCGACAGGACTCACACACCAAATTGGACAACTGGGATAAGCTCGGGAACAAGTTGCTCGTAATTTGCGCAGACCGGGGTGACCAAGCCGAGCATGAAGGAGAGAAGGAGACTCCATAACCGTGCCAACATGTGGAGAAGGTTGAAGATAATAAAGTCCATGTGACTTACATCCGGTGCCAATCACTCTTTGCGAGCTCCGGTTCTATAGGGAAACAGAAGTTTTGGTAAACGAGATAACACAATCAAGAGATCGAGTTAGACGGCTAATGGATAATAAGTTAAAGGGGGACCCGGGTACATACAAAACATTATCAATGGACAACGAGGGAAAAAGAGTAACCGTTCCAACACCATGAGCTAAAGTTGTAGACCCATTAGCCATTGTAACGAGAGGGTAAATTATGAGAAGAAGTGAAAGAGGAAAATAAGGATTTGTTACCGGTGATGTGATCGGTGGCGCCCGAGTCAAGAACCCAAGGGCCAATAGAAGAAGAGTGAGTCGGACCGGCAAAAGATGTACCTGTGTGGGCAATGTAAGTAGTGGAACCGGAGGGCTTTCGATCCTCCTACCATTGAAGAAAATCATTGAAGATAGCAGATTTGTCCGAAGGTACAGACGAAGGAGGATCCACAAGCAGAGGATTGTGCGGAAGAATCGGTCCGAGCAACTGCAGCGAGATCGGCGAGGATAACCATGTAAAGCATAACATCTCGTCAATTTTGTGGCCTAGTTTGCCACAATGGTCACACTTGACACGCCCTTTGCCCGGCTTGTGAGAGCGATTACGATCATCACGGTGAGAGGCCAAGGCGGATGAATCATTAGAAACTACAGGGGGAATATTGAGAGGTTTACATGGCACCCGCAAAAGGGAGGAACTGGTAGCGGTAAAGCTGGGTGTAACAGGGGAACCCAAAATCCGGTCACGAACAGGGGCATATTTATCGGCAAGTCCGTGTAACATCAAAACCATGAAAAACTTTGATCGTTGCTCTAATTCTTGGGCAGGAGTCGAGGCGGGGGTAATAACTCATTAAATTCATGGAGAAGAGCATGGATCTTACCCACATAATCCGCCACAGGATCCTTATCTCGAGGAGCAATAACATCAAGAAGATTGTAACAAACACCATAAAGACGTTGAGTGTCATTGGTGTATAATAATTTGGCTTGTTCCCAAACGTCATAACATGTGCCATACGATCGAAAAATTTGTTTTAAAGAAGATTGGATGGTATTCTTGAGAACCATACATATATGAGCATCAACTTTCTTCCAATGGACACGATCATTGGAAGGAACATCATCTACCTTGGTAGTAAGATGATCAACATACCCACGACTCTCAAGCCAAAGTCTAATATCGGATGCCCAAGTTGCATAATTCGTACCATCTAATTTATCAATGGGTAAATTCACATTGACATAATTAGTAAAAACAGATTGCTCGGACCCACCGGAACCGACGGAGGTAACTTCGAATTGGAAGTGGCAGCGGAAGATGCCATGGAGGAAGAGAGAGAAAACCCTAAAACACCAAAGAGGTCCGATTGGAGCAGCGAGGACAGATCCGGAGAGAGGAGAAGGAGGCGACGCCGGCGCAAAGATCGGCGGCCTGAATGGCGGCGAGACGCGCCGCCACGCGCGGCGGAACGGGAGAAGGTGGCGCGGCTTCGGGAGGCGCGTGAGGGAGCGTGGCTGCTCCGATGACCGCGAAACTTCCACGGTGGAGGTCGCACGGGGGAGGCGAGCAAAACCCTGTGCTCGGCGGTCCGAACTGCTACTCTGGCGGCGGCGGCGGCGGCGGACGGCGGTGGCGACGGCGGCGGCGATGGAGGCGGCGACAGCTGCAGGTTCAGTGGCAGAGCCGAAAAAAAATCCCAAGAGACCTTAAGCTCTTGATACCATGTTAAGATTCCAACATAAAACCAATTGGCAATATGTGGAGTAGCCTAACATGTATTTAAACCATACCAAATGATATGAGGTAGGCGATGTGGGACTTTCAACACACCCCCTCCAACGAAGCCTGCCGGACCAGGCAAAGGGTACTTTTGACCCAACTAAAGGGCAACTTTTGACCCATGACAATAACCGGAAAGATGTTAGGCTTTGGCTCTGATACCATGTTGAATATAGGGAAAAACTGTATAGGGTTAATTTCCCTTATGTATTTACCACACATAGGGCAGTGTATTTATAATAAAGAAAGGTACTCCTCAAAAGAGTAACAAAATACAAATAGAGTAAATAAAAAGATATTATTTGATATTGTGATTAACAATATCTAACAATATCTCAACAATATCAAACAATATCAACTAATATCTAATCATATCTAACACTTTGTGTCTGCATTCCAGAGATTTTATAGCTTCCTATTTTATCTAAGAAATATGTTGTATGTTTGATAGGTTGTTGATAACAATGCCCTTGCTCCTCATTCAGATTCCATCGAATGTGTTGGGTTTGCACCAAGGTATGTACTATGGTTAAGAAACTTCTCATAACCTGTCCATATCTGCAATCTTGCACATTTTCATGTACTATGCATGTAGACAATGGAAATTTTAATGGACGCAGAGGTTATTTGAAGGAATGAAGATGATGATGTTATAGGTCCACCAATGTAATGTTACTGCCAAAAGTCTTGGGGGTTGTTTGTTTCACGTCATCTTTTCTCATGCCCAGAAACATGAAGATGGGGATTAAATATTCTACGTTTATTAGATGCATATAAAAATATATTCCTAGATATCTTAATTCCCAGGAAAATGACCCCTTACACATTTTAAACTGTTTGGGAGTGAGTATCCTATTTCAGATAGATACATTCCAACGGAACATGTTTATGGAAATAGCAGTCCTGGGTACAATATTCCAAGGAATATGATTCCTGGGAAGACAAAATGATACCTGAAACAAATGCCCCTCTTGTTGATAGCAGGATGACAGGCATAATATAATAGGGCTTATTTATTAAGATGAATAAAAACCATGTCCCATGACCTCATGATTGTTATATACTTACTATACTTGACCTGAAAGTGACTTGGTTTTTAGTAGAAACACTGATTTAAGAAATAATTCTACTTATTTCCGAGGAATAATAGACAGCAAAATTGATTAAAACCTTGCTCAAATATGAAAAGTTTATACATGTCGAATTTTGAATAGTTTGTTCTCTTCAATTTGATATGAGACATCAATAATTGTCCCTTGAAATTGTATGATAGTGATTCCTGGGCTGCAGTTGGTGGCATGGATAAAAAATTGATCATCTGGGATATAGAGCATTTAATACCCCGAGGAACTTGTGAACATGAGGTTTGTTGTAATCTTGCTTTTCGCAAATGTCTTGAACGTGCATTGAGAGACTAAATTGGTCTATTTGCACTATACACTGGTTTATATATGATACTTTAAAGGAGTTTTGTCTTGTGGACAGGATGGAGTGACATGTTTGGCATGGCTTGGTGCATCATATGTAGCTACTGGTTGTGTGGATGGTAAGGTGAGAATTTGGGATAGCCGGTCTGGTGAATGTGTAAAAACATTGAAGGGGCACTCTGATGCCATTCAGTCTCTTTCTGTGTCTGCTAATCGGGATTACCTTGTTTCGGCCTCACTTGATGGAACAGCTTGTGCTTTTGAGGTTGAAAATTTTCGGTAAGCAATCCTTGTTGTGTCATTGCGTAGGATTGAGGTTGTCAATCATCAAAGCAAAGTCCTCTGTGTTTATGTCCTTGGCTTGGAGGTGTTGTGTTGCTATACAGAAGCTAGATTGTCATTTTTATGCTGAAAGTAAAAACTGTAGTGACATAAGCTTTTCCTGGACCCGGACAATTATAGAACAAAACATTGGATACTTTTACATCGTTAATATTATTGGTTTCGATGTTCATTCATACTAAAAATTATGTAATATTATATGTACAGGTTTTCCTTTTTGGGATTTTTACATTTACAAGTTAACTAGGAGTGCAAAACAAATAATGGAACCTTGTAAAAGATGCTTCGACATATTATCATTGCTTTCCAAAATGTAATTAATCTATAACTCTATTTGGAGGCAGTTTGCAAATTAATAAGTTCAGAATAGTTTTCAATTAGTGGTCCTAATTCGGCTAAAGCCCAATGAATGTTGATAGATGTCCATTAATAGCAGTCCATTGATTGAGCTGACGGTGTATATGATTTCAATTTTTATTCTCATATTGTTATTTAATTATAAGTTATCATTTACTATAACTTTTTGTATTTTCATGATGATCACCTTAGAGAATTATATTGGCGGTGTTGTTTTGGTAGTTGGTGACATACTAAAAGTTTTGCATAAATTCTCCATACTCATTAAGTTTTAATTTTATTGTGTTTTAGTTTTGAGTTTCTCAAATGATTTGATAGAATAAATTCAAATATTTCCTAAGAAAAAGAAAGAAATAAAATAAATGTTAGATGACATGATTTTAAATATATAATTTCAAAGCAAAGACACAGCCAAATTCCCTACTATTTCCACCATCAGGAGGAAAAGGTCTTCTTTTCCCACTACTCCCTACATTTTTCCAGCTCTACGTGTGGCGAAGGCAAATAAATTATACTTAAAAGACACTTTTGCCAGCAAGGAGCATAAGTTATTCCCATTCTTTTTTTAATTTCTTAAGAACAAAAACGAAACCCCACCAATCACCATTCTAATAACTCGATATTGATGCTACAATGAATAATGAATAAACTCCATGTATCATTCCTTGTCATAACTGGTGGAAATATATCTCACTTACAATTATCTTATAAATCTGTTTTCTTAAAACAAATGTTTATAACTCACTTCTCTTTTGTTTGATAGTAATTATGAAAACCTCATGATAATATTATATAATTTTTTTCTCTTACAAAAGAATTTGCTTAAAATAATTGAAGATTATAATTAACAGTTAACTAATTAATTTTAAACTAACTTTTTTTATTTAAAGTGATTGATTATTTCAAATATAAAGCCATTCGGTATAAATAATTGTAAAGTCCTCTTTTGTAATTTTAATATAAAAAATAAAATTTATTGTTTTCAGATAATTCCATCAAAATATATTATCTACAGTTAATTATTTAAACAATTTATTTTTCACGACTAATCTAAATACACACTAAGAATGAAGATTGTATTTTATGAATTCATTAAAAAAGGTTACGTTGCTCTTGTTTTTTCGGCTTTGAGAAAGATGTTTGAAAATTGTTTTAAAGCTTCGAACAAAAAAGAAAATCATCAAACATGTTTTTTTTTTAAAAAAAAAAACAGTAATCAATTTGGCCCTAATAATTTCATATATTATTTTTTTAATTTATTTACATTTTGTTTGAAAATGACAACAATTTAAACATCAAGCTTTATGGGTAGAATCTCATATCTTGTATCCAAGGCAAATAAATAACTTATAAATGAAGCTTGTTGCCTTATGTAACTTGTTTCTCAGGCTGTGCGTGATAATTTAACGCGTTAATACAGATTTTAATTCAGATTATTTTGGATTTATATTTTTTCTAAGAGAAAATAACGTGTCAAACTCAATTTCATGTTTATGAACACTGTTTAGGGTTTGACTTCAATTTTTCGGAGAATTTATTTCGTTATTTTCTTTCTCTTTATTCTAAATTCAAAACTATACTTCTAACAAGTTTGAGTTAAAAATAGTTTAAAGATTAAAATATACAATTATCAAATCTTAAATCTTTTAAGGAAACATTAATCTAACTTACATAGGAATTAATACTACTTTTAATAAAAAATCTTAACATACTGAATTATGTTGAATTATGTTATCACTCTCATTTTCTTATATTTAAAATTTTTATTATTATTTAAGGTAAAATTTAGACTTACACATATTTTTCAAGTATCAAATAATTTAAATTTAAAAATTCTGGTTTTCAAGTTCAACTGTTATTACTCCACCCTGCAATCTCCTTTGATTGTTTCTATTTTTCTATTTTTCATTTGAGAGTGAAATAACAAACATGCATACGATTCCAACCTAATTGTTTGTAGGTTGTCACAGACGAATTGAAAGTGACAATGCAAAGGAGAAGGAGAGTTTGAGACACCCTTCATTTCCCAAATGGCAGTGAATATGCCATGAAATTGGGAATTTGTGTCTTAATTTATTGGCAACTTGCATATATTATGCTATTTGTGCCCAACCCAATACAACAATAATAAACACCAACTTGCAACTTTCAACTTTCCTAATTGCACAAGATAACCCTTTTGACATTTAACCTAACCACATTTATGTTTGGAAAGTTTTGTCAAATACCTAATCATGCTTCTAGTAAAAATTCAATTTTCCATTCATTCCTCAACTCCACAAACACCGCAATTTATAGGAACATATTCTTTTGGATAATCTTTTTCGGGTCTGTTTTTGGTTACAATTTTTAATTTTTATTTTAATAACTATCTACGTTTTATGTGAATTAGGTATGTATTGTCAATATAGTCTAGTTTAAGGTGTATGAATTGTTGCGTTCTATTTTTTATCAAATTTGTGTATTTTTGGACCAAGTTACGAAAAGTTTTAATATTGTTTACTGTGATCGTGTTGAAAATATTTGTTTCAATAAAAAATATTTATAGTCTATAACGTTTTAATATAAAATTTTATTTTAATGATTTATTGTTTTGATTTTTATATGGTTTATTAATATTTTAATATTTTACCTGATACTAATCTGATTTAGTGGGAAATAAAGTACGGGTGATTACTTTTGTCAACAATCAACCTCAGTGTTCAATGTATTAATAATTTGTATCTAACTCTTTAATTATTTAATCATTATATTTGATTTTATTTTATTTGGAGACTTAAAAGCCACCAAATAATTAGTTATTTGAAGTTAAATATACAATACAAACCAAAGTTCAACCAATATATATACTTTATTTACGAAATGTTTTTTTTGTTTCCTTTGTACCTTAACAGTTATTAGTTGTTTTGTATTACAAATTAATGGGATACGTTCCGTAGTTCCCATCATATTGTTTTGTGTATGGTGGGACCGAGGGTTTAAGTATCGTGGTGTGAACCCTTACTAACAGCTATAGCTTTTAGCTAAGTGGCTAATGCTGCACGCTCATTCTTTGGTATCAGAGCAAGGACTTTCCTTGGTTACCTTGAATATGATTCTTTGCAATTGAACTGGTTTGTGTTCTCTAGGATACCCAGCCAGTATCTGGATATTTTTGCAATTGAACTGGTTTGTGTTCGCCAGGATACCCAGCCAGTAGTAGGGCAGGTTAAAGGCCAGGGAGTGCCACGAGACCCTAAGTCCCGCGTAGCTACCTTTGTGGGTTGAGGAACACGTTGCAGATTGCGACAGTCTTTGCGAAAATATTTAGTACCTTTGTGGGTTGAGGAACACTTTGCATATTGCGGCAGTCTTTGCAAAGAAAAATATTTTCGTTTTTTTTTTAAATTCTCTTTCTTGTATGTGTGTTTTTCTTTTTATGGCCTATACCTAGAAGTAAACCTAGGTATAATAAAAACTACAATCAGAATTCTTATTCTGAAATACAAAAACCCACAACTTCTAGAAAGACTTACACGATTAGGTCTTCAAATTCTAGAAAACCAACTCTAAATCCTGATAGACACGTCAGAAAATTTAGAGAAAACAAAACATACAAGCAAACTTTGAAATGTTTTGCTTGTAATCAACCAGGACACTTCTCTAGAGATTGTCCTAACATTACAAACCTTTACACTAAAGAGGCAGAATTGATAAAATCCTGCCACATGAACCTTCTTCCAATAGATGAAGATGTTTCTACTGACTCTGAAATACTATTAGTGATTAGTATTACAGAGTATAATGATGAAATCAATTTAGACAAAAGCCATAAAGATTATGGCCTAATAAATGATTTCACAAATAATGAATTCATTCACCTTTATCCTAATGAAAATGATTTTCAACTGGATAATAAATATAATGAATTAGGAAATATATTAGATGATTATGGATATTGTCTAATGAATATAACAGTTTCTTCTTTTAAAGAAACTAACAAAAGGGTATTGCAGAGTTCCTTCAGTTATACAGGTACTACTATGGCAAACCCAATCAACAAAGGCAAGTTACCAGCCTCAACAACTGAAGAGTTTGATACTCTAAAGTTTGGAACACAACATCTTCTGGTTTTACCAGAAGGTCACCCTCAACAATTCAAATGTCTGAGGAACTGTCCCGTTTCAAGGGAACAAAAGGTATTACTTGATGTTCTTCATCGAGCTTGTAGTACAACAACAAAATTTAATGCTATTAATGCATTAAATTATTACTTTGCAAAAATATTGCCCGCTGTTTTTAAAAAACCCAAGAAAGAGGCCTACTGCCTTTTTACTGGAGACAAGTGTGGCGTCTACCTATCATATCCCTCTTTGTTGAAGGCGATAGGTAATGACAAACACAGCAAAATTCAAGGATTTGATAACCTTGAAGAAGCAGTACCAACGATTGTCAGCTATGTTGGAGGTGACAACAGCCTGTTGGACCATCCCGAAGTTGGTAATTTCATTTTTGAAAAACTAACAAAACAAAAGAATTTTTCAATTTATGATTCCATTAAACTTAGACAACACTTGGCTTTTGCCAAGAAAATGGAACAAAAAT